ATGGAATACTATGCAGCACGCAGAAGCAATGATTTTGTAAATTATTACCTAACTTGGGAGGGACTGGAGTGCATTAGTTTGAATGAACTAACTCAGACCCAAAAGGACTAATATTGTATAGAACCATTATTATAGAATGAGTATAAGGATTCGGGGGCAGGGGGCGGTGGAAGCAGAGGGATGAGGATGTGTTGTACAATTGGATGGGTGGGGGGTGGTGAGGGAAATCAGGAGATCTGTTCTGGGAAACAGTGTATTCAAATTTTGTCAATAAACTAGTATAATTTTTAAAAAGGAGAGGGGAAAAAGAAAAAAAAGTAAGTAGTACAGGATTAATGGACCTCACAAAATACAGCATCTTCTAGCCCGAGATCAGATGAACTTAGATGGTGCTTGGCTGATAATAACATTCTGATTAGGGACAATTGAAGGTCCTTGTTGGAATGGGGGGAAAATATAGAACAAAACTCAAGTCTGTGAACAGCTCAGACTGATTAGACTGACGAGTAAAAGAACCATGAGACCGTGGACCTAAGATACTCTAACTTGGAAAAGGAGCCCTCTTCCCCCCCCCGCCCCCCACCAGATCACCTTTCAGCCAAGTAATAGAATAAATCTGCTAATAGACTAAATGATGACACCTCTGAGAATTGTGCTCCATAGAGCAATTAACTAGATGAGAATTTCCCAGCAACACTCCTTAAAAGCAAAATTAAAAGACAATAAGGCTGTGGACCCTGGAGAGAGAGAAATGGAAAGTATGGAGATGGGGGGAGTAAGGATACATTGTGAGAATGGCAACCAGTGTTATGGAATAGTTGGTGTATAAATTGTTGACTTGGAAACCAATTTGCTATGTAAATTTTCAAGTAAAGCACAATATTTTTTTAAAAAAAGAAAAGATAATGGAGGCATATTAATCATTTTATTGCTGTAAACATAACTCTTTGGAAGTTACAAACTGACTTAAAGAAGCACAGAGACCAAGCGAAGAATACCCAAATTATCTAAACACTTTTAGACTGACTTTAAGAAAAGCACCTTCTTTAAACATCACTGAAAAGGAGTACTAAAGTTTAAAAATTGCTAGTAAGACAGCAGAAGAAACATTGTAGAAGAGTTACAGTTTAAAAATAAAAATGTATAACTCAAACATGACGAAATGGAGAGAGTATAGACAATTAAATGATAGAGTATTCTTTGTTTTAACCTTGTCTCATGAATAATTCCTAGAGTAATTGAATCTTTAGTTATAAACTGAATAGCCTAGAACCGCAAGGCCAATTCCATTTCAGAGGTGCTTGAAATTTGACATAGACTTATGTATTTTAGTGCAATGTAAAGCTGGACTTAAAAAAAAATACTAGAGATCATAAAAAATTTGGAATTTCTTAAATAAGCATGGAAAAAAGTGAGAAAAGCATTTTAAAGTTTGCTGTTTGCTTTGGACATCAAAGGTCTTTGTCAAACAATCAAGTAATTTTGGTCATGACTGTAATGGATTATTGAACCTCTGAAAGTCAGAGTACATGTGTGTTATAACCTGACAATCAAATTTTGGAATAATTTTAGAAATAAATTCTTGGATAGTTGAGGAAAATTGAACAAAGAGAGGGATGTAATTGCTGAATATATAATTAAACATTTTTTGAACATTTCTTTTAATAATAAAAAAAGATGCTAAAAGCTTTATACACTGATGTTGAACAAGTGGCCAGATGGAGACATATAAAACATGAAAAATAGATACTTTCATGTAATTTTTAGCAAATATTTATTTCTATCTGGCAACATGCATATAAGCTAATAATATGTAGCAGTTGTATCTAGAATTCAAGGCCAAACTGGGCTCAGGATGACTTTTTGATTGAGACAGTATTTATGATATATTAGAAAGAGAGTATTTATGATCCTCTAGCTACTTTACAAAATTAGGTATTTTTATAAATATGAAAAATTTTCTTTTCAAATTATATATACATGAGATTAAATTACTATCTCTTATTCCTTTTTTACAAGAGTAAGTTGATTAGAAATTCAGCTTGCATATTGTTTTCAGGCCTGTAGGATGTCAGATTACCAAAGAAGAAGAATGAAACTCTGCCTTAAGACTATTTTGGGAAAATATAACATGCTTAGAATGGTTAGTGTCTTAATCAGGTAATTCTAAAATATGAGATTAAATGGAACATGAAAGTGTGATCCTAAAAGTCACAATTTGATTGGCAAGTTTACTTCCTAGAAGGATTGATGGTTATTACTGCCATTTTATTTTGCATCTGTCATGATTTTGTGGAACCAAATGGTCAAAATAACAATAGTTATTAAAGATGACCACGCTGATATTTATTAGACAACCTAGAAAATATTTGTGGATGACACGGTTATCTTAAGGTTTTTGATAATGCATCTTATCAAAATGACAAGTAAGTTCTCAGTGGTCAGAATTCCCTTGAATTGATTAGGTAATTATTATTTTTTTACTTTCAAATTCCTGGATATAAACACACTCAAAGCCATTTCAATAAATACCCTTTGACTTTATTTCTGAAATAGAAATATTACCCATCATTAGTGAAGTGCAAGAATGGGAGAAAGAAATAATAAAAATAAAGAATCCCTTTGAATGATTTTATTTACACCTCTGCATTTTTTTCCATTATACAGACTATAAAAAATTTATATATCCTACAGAGTTAAAATAAGATGTATATTGTGACTTTCAAAATCCTGACTTCATCTGCTATTAGAAAGAACAAAATAATTCTAGGTAAACAATTCTTCCTCTTCTCCCCAGCTTGTCAAGTGTTAGAAACGAAAGAACCATTCTTAGATTTCACAACACTCGGTGGGAAATTTTAGTTAACTGGAGGAAAAACTTTAAAAGTTACATTTTATTCACAAATCCAGGGTGAAAGGTTTTTCTTTAATTTTCTGATTTTATTTTTTCATATTGTTTTACTTTAGTGAAATTAGTTCATATGAATGTGAATTTTAGAAAAGTGAGAACATTCTTCTACTATGTTGTAGTACATTTACCTGTCTCTAAGAATATCCTGATTCATTTTAGAAACTTTAAGCAGGTATCATGTATACAGCAAATGCACAGAAACAATACATCATAAATAGGACACGACTGAGTTTTGAAGGTAAAAAAATATATTATAATTTGGAAGCTATAAGAGTATGTGTAAACCAAATGGTTATTAACAAATTAAATCAGGAATATAAAACATATACTAGTGGAAACAGTCAGAGGGTGGGATAGACTAGAGAAATGGGTATGTTTAGCCGTGTTTCATCCTAGTCAGTGCAACACTAACTCTGCTAGACGTTCCTGGTTGATCTCTCCAAAATGGGAGCAGAGGATTATTTAAAAAACAAGACAAAACACAGCAAAAAATAAAAACCACAAAACTCAATTAAAACTAATAATAACTACAATGGTATTATTTTAGCACTCAGATTTTTCAACTTGCCTATTAAACGTTTTTCTATATATTCTAAAATCATTTTTAGATCTTCTATTAAAAACAATTCCTGAAAGCTTATCTATACAGTAAGCTTGTTTGAATAATTCAGCTTAAAGAAATAATTTTAACTGACAAGATGTGTAATACAGAGTTGAAAATAAATGAAAATAACACTTGCTAAAACCACATTCTGCAAATAGAGTGCAGTTGCTTCTAGTTATTAGGAAAGTAGTTTACCACTAGTGACAACCACTGTGTCCACCATTATTTTGGCTTCCATTAAGAAGTACACTTCACTGGCTTTGCTTTACTAATCAGAGTCACTGTGGTGAAAGAAGAAACGAGCATGATATTTTGTAAGCTCACCAGTATGCAGTATTCATCAATATTACATCTATCATGAAACCCAACTTAGAAGTGGAAGAGTTCTTGACTCGGGCATTGTCACTTTATCCCAAATTAATCTCATTTAGTGCCACTCCCTATAGCATTAAGGGTGAACTTTATTTTATCTAATGCAATATATGGATTATTGGTGGTGCAGCAGTTAAACATCCAATTGCTAACAGTTGAACTCAACCAGCAGCTCTGTAAGAGTTGACAATCTAGTCCCATAAAGAAAGCTTCTTTAGAAAACCTCAAATTCACTGCCATAGAATTGGGACTGATTAATTATAGCCCCTCCATTCAATTTCCAAGGCTCTATGTAACATAGGAGGATACTGCTCACCTTTCTCCCACGGAGTTTCCTGATAGATTCAACCCACCAGAGGGCCAAAGACTTTGGGCTAGCGGCCAATCCCCTACAGACTATCCCCAAAAGCTTACTGTCTAGGAAACCCTACAGGACACGTCTACTCTGTCATATAGGATCATTATGAGTTGAAGTTGACTCAAGAACATGAAATAATACAGTTACTAAGTAAGGAATGTTCATAGATTGTACATTTGGTTATTTAGTCAGACTTTTTTTTGTTAATTGCTTACTCTCACCTGAAATTTGGATTGGATTTCTATTTACACGACCTGTGAAATTGATAATAAGGCCCTTACCACAAATTTCACATATCCCCACATTGATGGGCACATCTTGTGTGGTTAGTTCTTTTGACTATTGCCTGAGCCATATGGCAGACCAGAACAATTGGGAGAAGAATCATGCCAATTGAAATCTCAAGGCTGGTGTTTGTACATGACTGCTTTTATTTATTCCATGTGCTGGGGGTACACTGGAAGCCAGACAAATATAAAGACCCTGTAGGGCACACAGGCACAAAGAAGACCCTGCCTCAAGTTTTAATTCATGCTCTTCATGTCTTGGTATTGATGTAAGAAAAGAAAAATTTACAAATGCTACAGTCTTCTCTCCCTACAGCAAGGCTTTCCTGTCTTTTTCTCAATCTGGTTTCTTGCCCTGCTCCACAATGACCTTATGGAGCCATGAAAAACATCGTTGGCTTTTTGTATGGTGGGAATTTAATGCAAATCACAGTAACTGTGAAAGACGTGTGCTGGGGACGGTCCTGACTACTTGGTGTATTGCACTGTGCTGTACTTTGTGATCCTACTTCGAGTTGTGCTAGGGGACGCGGACCCGAGGGTCTGGTTAAAGTGATGATCAGAGGAACTCCTCATGTGGCCGATGGTGGCTGTACCTCCCATGCTACTCAGACCCCCACCTCCAGCACCTAGGCTGGTACCGACCAGACCGCCACTACTCATGCCACCACCTCCACTTATCCCACCTGTGCCACTAATTCCAGCTAGGGCAGAACCAGACACAACCCTCTCTGTTACAATCACATTATGGGCATTGGATAACTCAGGGTGCATGCCCAGTGTGCCCATCATGCCAGACGTTGGTCTGATAACTCTTTCGGTCACTACCACATTTGAAGCCTCTCTAGGGTCAGGGATGGTCAAAGAGGTGGGTAGACTTGAACTTGGTGCTATTACCCTCTCTGTCACAATAACGTTTGACCCATCTCTCAGATCAGGCATATCTAACATTCCATGAAAATCAGCCCCAGAGATTGGGCCAACCACTCTCTCTGTCACCACCACATTCGATGCATGTCGATTATCATGGATGTGGACAGAAGGCTTCAGAGTGCCAGTGGTGGTGTAAGACTCCTTCACAGTGACATTACCATAGCCTAGAGGATCAGGGATAGGCACAGGGTGCTGCACCCCAGGTCCTGAGGGATAGGTACTCTCAGAAATTACTGTGGTGGTGCCGAAGTGTGGTGAGATTGGGGGGTGTCCACTTATGATGGGTTCTGTGCTCTGCGGAGGGCAAACTGGTTCAGTACTCTCAGGTGGCCACGAGGTATCAAAGTCTGGATAGGTGTCAACTTCTTTTCCCAGACTGATATCTGCCAGCTTCTTAAATTTAGGCCCAAGTGTATCCAGGAAGCTGTCATCCAAGTCTTCACCAATGAAGCTACAGCAACCCACAGAGCCAGCAGGGGAACCTACACCTTCAATATCATAGATGAGCAAACAGTCATTGGATGGGCGACCTTCATCTTCATCTGCATAGGCAAATGCTTTCTAAATTTACAGAGAAGAGAGAAAATAAATTAATACACAGTATCAACAAAATAGCATTCTTTTGCATTGCTTTTTCTTCTAGAGAATTACAAAAAAGGTTATCTGAAACTAAATTCTGTGATATGCTTGATATAGTTCTAAAACTACTGTATAATTAATTATTAGAGAACATTTGTTGGTAATTAGCTTAACTGTGTTTTGACTTTAAAAATTATTTGGACACAAAAGCATAAGGAAATTACATGAATTGTTTTCTTGGTCCAAATGCACAAAATTTTGTACCTTTTCCTTGTGTAGTTGTTTTGGAATTATTCAGAGTTGTACGTCTTTACCTTTATAGGAATGACTATGATAAGTCTATTGAGATTTATTAAATTTTTCTTTTTATTGAGATTTATTAAATTTTTCTTTTAAAGAAAAACATAAACTTGATTCTGGGTCTACTCATTTTGGATTCAAAATTGAAGATGATCAAAGGCAATATTTAGAAGCAGAATATCCTTCAACTTAAAATGAAAGCCCACACATATGTACACTTATATTTCAGCTTTCTCAGTCATAGTTTCAGATTGCCAACTTTCAGGTCAAAGATAAGAAGTAGCGTAAATATAAAACCAATTCATTGTATCATTCCATTCAAAAGCTGCTTATTGAGTCCTTACTGTTTGTCAAGCACTCTGTTAGGAAGTGGGGTAGAAAGTAATGAAAAAAATCAGATAAAGTCACTCTATAAATAACTTATTGTTATAAAGGTGAAACTGACACAATGTTGACCCTCCAGAGGGTTTTTAATGGCTATAACTTTCACGGGAGGATAATGCCTATCTTTCTTCCTTGGAGCTGTTGGTGGACTTGAGCCATCTGTCTTTGGGTTCCTATACTGAATTCTGTTTCAGAGTATTTAAGGTTTCAGCTTTGACTTATAGGCTTCTGGGAAAAGTGGGTATACCTGTGTTGGTGGGTCCAAGCTGACTCTCATTACCTTAATCACTAGGTCACCAAAGCTTACATTTTATTAGGATAAGGCATGTATTATGTAAGCACACAGAGTTGATTGTCATTATTTGTAGAAGTTAGTTATATAAATTTGCCATGATCATTGGATTACAGAATCCTGAAGCACCACTCCTTGGGGAAATATGGAGTGAAGTGTTTAAGTCCTCTAGGAAGAGGAAACTGTCAGCCCAAGAATTTTGAGGCAAGAAAGTGCTTTTCAAGGAAATAATGTTCATACAAAGAGCAAAAGACATGGATATCAAATGTTCTTATAAAGGTCAGTAACAGATCTCTTATTAAATCTACTTATTACTGTTTGAAAGATTTATTTGATAACTTTTCCTTTGAAAATGTTAGCTATTATGAAAATGATTAGGGAAATAGGGAGCTCTGGTGCTTAGGGATAAGGAGCTGCCAACCCTAAGTCCTGCAGTTCAAACCCATCAGCTATTCTTCAGGAGAAAGATGGGAAAGTCTCCTCTTATGCAATTTATTACCTTTGAAAGCTCACTGGAGGCTCCCCTATGGGACGGTGCATAGTAATAACATTTTAAAGATTTATTTGATTTTTTTTTCTTCCAAATACTAAGTACCATCTAAATGATTAGGGGAATAGATGACAATATTTTAGATCAAAACGGAGAAGATAAAAAAAAATACACTTTCAATTGGTATTGTAGACAAGAGCTTTAGGAGACTTGCTTATTACATGGTATGCACATTATCCCTCAGCCACGAGTATGCCTGGGGATGGCAAAGTTGATTTAGTTACTGCTTCTTCTCTAGACTTCATGTTTTTGTTTTTGTTTTGTTTTCTTTTTTAATTTAATTTTTTTAAAATATTTTGTGTGTGTACCGTCAAATCGGGTCTGACTGGTACAGGAGGAGATTGCCCCTCCTTCTCCAGCAGAGCATCTGGTGGATTTGAACTTTGTGCCTCTGGGATTGCAGTGCAGCTTCTTGCCACTAGGCCACTAGACTTCATGTTTTTTTTTAACAGGTCCTACAGTAGGTTCTTGGAGTGTTCTAGAAGTATATGTACTATCACTATTAAGCCTGCTCTTATTTCATGTCTATTAGACCCCTGGAAAAAAGCCCTACCACAGGGAACTCTGCTGGCTTACTGGAAAGAAGCTGTGCTGATGGCATGTGGTTCAAATCCCCCAGTTTCTCTGTGGGATAAAGATGGGCAATCTCCTCCCTCTTATTAAAACTGTCTCTGAGTGCTTGCTTCGGCAGCACATACACTGAAATTGGAACGATACAGAGAAGATCAGCAAGAAGAAAAAGAAAAAAAAAAATTTTAAAAAAAGCTGTCTCTGAAAATTTGCCAGAGGGTCAGCTATGGGTTTGTTCCAACTTGACAGTAAACAACAACAACAACATTGTAATAAACAACAACAACATTGTAATGGTTAAGCTCTTGCTGTGAATTGATAGGTTATCTGTTCAAATCTACCAGCCACTCTATAGGAGAAAAAATGCAGCAGTCTGCTTCTGCAAAGATTTACAGGCTATTTGAAAATTTAGGGAGAAGAAGTACTACCCTGTTCTCCTGAGTCAATAAGAGTTGGAATTTGACTCAAAAACAATGGTTTTGCTTTAAGAGATGGAAGCAACCCATGTGCCCACCAATAAGCGAATGGATAGAAAACCTATGGTATACCCACACAGAATACTACACAGCATTGAAAAACAGTGAAATAGTAAAACATCAGACTACATAAGGGAGCCTTGAGGACATTATGCCAAGTGACATAACTCAGTCACAAAAGAAAAAAATACTGCCTAACACCACTGTTATAAAAAAGGACAGACATGAGGGGGTTGCGGAGAGAATGGGGAAAGAGTAGACAGTGAACATGGGATTAGAACAGACGAGAGGAAGAACTGTCTGAAAGGAATATATGATTATGCATTATATGAATGAGAACAATCTGAAATAATAAACAATAGGTGCATTGTGAGGTGGGTTTCGGGAGGGGGAAGAAGAGTGGGGTGGAGAAATATGCAACAGTGAATAAATAAAAGAAAAAAACCAAAAACAAATCCCAAACAGCAAAAACTCCCCCAATAGTTTTGCTTTGATGTGCCTGTTGCTGATTTAGGCATGAGGACAATAGTAACAGTGACCCAAATTAGGATATTTCAGCAATATATTTAAAACAATATTTGATCAAGTACTAGAGATATACAAAAAAAGAAAATGGAATTTTTTAAAACGGAATTTTACACTGGTTTACCTACAAGAACAGTATTTTCTTTACTTTTTTAAAAAATTAATTTTAATGAAAGTTTAGAGAGACTTAGGGTTTCCAGTCATTCATGGTTGCAATTTTCTGCCTACCCACCCCCTCTACTCCCAGTTCACTCTTCTCTTTGAAAAGAAAGAAAAGCTCTTTCAGCGTTATGCAATGCCTCCCCCCCACCCAAGTCCACTCCACCATGCAGCCTTCACTCTGGACTCCTGTCAAGACAATAATACCTTTAAAGTGACTTAACACTAAAAACCTTGGAGCCAGTGATTATTGGAACTAAGTCAATCTTGAAAGATGAGTAGAAATTTATGAAAGAGGTGTGAAAACAAACAACATCCTAGGAGTGACAGGGAGTGCTGGGGAAAGTGCTAAGGAGTTACTCAAGTAAACACAAAGGGAGTTTAACTCTACCAGCAGCTATAAGAGAGAAAGAATGACAATCTTCTCCTGTGCTATTTACAGATTCCTGAAAACCCACTGCAGAGTCGTCTGAAGGTTGGTTGTGTCTTGAAAGCAGTGAGTTTTTTTGAGAAGAGATATAACCTAAACAGATGTGGAGGTGAACAAGGGGACGATCACTGGCAAAGGCAGTTCATTGTGAGGGATAGTTAGAGATGTGGAGGGAAGGAATCAATTTAGGAATATTTTTTGCTTGCCATGTTGAGGAGTTTGGACTTCATTACTTGGACAGAGAAGAGCTGGGGTGAAATTGACAGTTTTTAAAAAGAGGAAGAAAGTGGTCAGGTCAGAGTTTTTGAAATATTCTTCACCAAGAATATTATCTGTTGCAGGTGAAGACTAGAGCCTAGAATGTAGGCAGGAGACTCCTCGCCAAATTCCCTAAAAAATGGTGAGACCCTCCAGTGTAAATGAGGATGGAAAGGAAAAGAGGTGGTTAGAGACCTTACCTGACAGAAGTAACTCTCCATGAAATTCATATTCAGTCCTCCTTCTCTACATTCCCTCATGGAATTTCTTCTCAATGTTCCAGAATAGTCTTGGCATATCTCAGGCATTGCAGATGTCTTAACTCCATTTGTTACTTCAAATCCTGACGTTCTTTCTCCTCCTCCCAGATCTTGCATTTCTCTTCCACAATACTCATTTGTATAAACTCCTGAAAGTGTTGATCACATTCAGTTTATGTTCTCTAGTACATTGTAAACAGAAACTAGTAATTTATTTTAATGTTTGATTTATTTGGATAAGGACAGAGTAGTGAACACGAAAGTAAATACAATGAAGATGACATATATAGAAAGAAGGCATACAAGTGACTTTGAATTTAAATACTTTGGTTAAGAAGTTAATTTGTAAATGTTTACGGAGAGTTTACTATATATGGTATTTTGGGAAATAACATAGAAGTGACAAAAATATTTTCCCTAGTTTTATTTAAAATTTTTGTCAAGTAGGAAGGAGAATATTTAGATTTTCACAAGTGAAAAATGATCTGCCTATCTCACTTACTACTAGTACTATTATTAGAAGGTATTATTAGAAGCAATGTCTGACCAGCAGAAGAAAGCTTGAGTACCACTGGCATTCAGGGAAGAAACTATGGTGAAGGGAAAGGTTTACATGAAGAATCTCGGATTTTCCCCTTGGATCTGTAGGATGAACAAAAGATGGTCATAATATTCACATCTGTTGTTACTAGGTGGAGTCAAGTATATAGAGACTCAATGAACCACAGAGTTTATCCCGTGACATTGTCTTCATTTCGGACACATTTGTGCCCATTCCTGAAGTCACCGAGTCAACTCATCTTGTTGAGGGTCTTCCTCTCTTTCGTTGACCCTTTACCCTTCAGAGTAGGCGAGATAAAAATGCTAACCTGACCAATAGAAGGGGGAAGGGAGAATGTTCACAACGACCTTATTATTTTAATGTCTTTGAGTTTAGTCATATTTGTTCTTTCAGAGTTCTGTGAGAATTTCTGGAGACCTTGCTAAAGACTTGGACACTAACTGAAAGGTTGGTAGTTTGGCTCTACCTATTAGCTTCTTGGGAGAAAGACTTGGCAATCCACTCCCAAGAGATCAGAGCCACTGAAAATCCCAAGGATGTAGCTCTACTCTGAAAAACACGGGGCTGTCATGACTTGGAATCAACTCAATGGTAACTGATTTGGCTTCTGTTTTTCCTGCCCTCGTGTCCCTTTTGGCACTTTGAATGGTGAAGATAATCAATAAAAGCTTGTGGACTAAATGAAGGGGTAAAAAGAAAAACAAAACAGAGGTCAGAGGTAAATGCTTGTGAGTGTGATGATATGACAAGAAGAGAGATTGAGTGTTAATGAACAGGGAGCTAGAAGAGTTGTGAGTTCTGCTTTTGAGTTGAGAGTGTCCTGGCGTCATTAATAAAATATAGACAACAGAAGAAGGAAAATGTTTAAAGAGGGGCCCACCCCTGTCCATGGGATAAAGTTCAATTCTACAAGTGATAAACACCCCTCATATGTCACATTTTAAAGGGTTTACTCATGACAAAAGTGCTGATTACTAGCTTGAAAAAGAATAAAAGAGCAAATAATCATTAAAGTTCATAAAATTTGAATAAAGTGAGAAGCAGACTCAAACCTCACTCAGTAAATGAACACACATCTATTTCAATTGGGCTGTACTTCTGAAAACCCTTTGAAGGGTCAACAATGAGCTGGTTCTGAGAGTTGAGTTTAATTCCAATTAGCGTTTTTGTGTAAATAACATTTCCTGTATCAGACAAAAAGCCTTGGCTACAACTGACTTACAGATATGCTCAGGTATTTCTCTCCTATTTACGGAAGTCCAGGTAGGCTTCTTCTGAACATTTAATTCGAGAGGTGGTTACTTAAAAAGCAACAATACTTCAATTAAAAAAAAGGTAAGATAAACAAAATGTGACAAGATGCTTGTTAGCCATTTGTGTTGTTAAAAAGAAAACAACACCACAGATTTTCTTACCTGTGTTGTCAAGGCATTCAATCATATTTCCATTCTCAGGTAATATTTGTGGCACACAGATGGTGGTCAAATCCTAAAAGAGAGGAAATGTTTTCTTGTTTGTAAAAGATCTCTCCATCCCCTAACCCCTTTTAATCTATTGGTTTGTCCTCAAATTCTCAGGATTATGACTTCAAATATTCAGAAATGCACTGGAAACCTAAACCTCATGCATCACGCCTTCCCTGGTTACTTCCAGTTAATTTTAATGCCCTTTGATTCTTCTTAAGTTTTCCTCAGCTATTCCAGGGAAAAAAAATAGCATACATGGTGAAATGATTGCTAACAGCTTGGTTCATGTGTTTCAGACCAAGTTCACACACTACCAATGTGTGTATTTTATAGCTTTGCACTTACTCTGAGTTCAGGCTGTGGTCCTTCCACTGCCCAGGAATGAATCGCTCCATCAGAACATTCGGGAACAGGCTCGAAACCAGCTCCAACACCTGGAGCCCCTCCACAGTCACAACAGAGCAGCAAAAATGGAACCACTGGAGGTGGAAGGATTGAAATAGCAAAGTTAGCAGTGGACCCATATGAATAAAAGAGCATTCTTTTAAAATTTGAGTCCTTAAGGTAATGCTAAAGTTTGATACTAAAGAAAATTTCAGGAAGAAAATGTAATAATGATCGGACACCAAAATAAATGTGTACTCCAGTTTCTGAAGTCAATTTCCATTCGCTGCGTTTAGATTGCTACTTTGGTGGTGCAATGTTTAGACTCTCAGCTGCTCAGCTGCTAACTCAAAGGATGACAATTTAATCACCAAGTGACTTTGAAATAGGAAGAGTTGGGGGAGCTCTGGTGGCCTAGTGGCAAGAAGGTGCACTGCAATCCCAGAGATATGCGGTTCGAATTCACCAGATGCTCTGCCGGAGAAGGGGGGGCAATCTCCTCCTGTACCAGTCAAATATTGTTTGACAGTACACACACACAAAATAATAAAATTAAAAAAATATAAAAAAATACAAATAGGAAGAGTTATAATCTACATCTATAACAACCAAGAAAATCTAATAGAATATTTCCAAACTCTTCACAAGTAAAACATAGGCTTAATGGCATACCTAACAGCAACATTGAAGTTACAAAGGGTATTATACTATTCAAACGGCTAAGTCTTCCCATTCCCCTGTTCCTTGTAATTCTTAAATTATTCAAGGAAAAAATAAGGCTGGAAAGGCCATGCAATTAGTTTGTACATTCATACTTCCATCTCTTTTGTCTTATTTATGTTTCACCTTTATAAATGCTCTCTTTCTATTTTAATGGTACAATCTTATTCATGGGTACAAACAAATATTCTATGAGGCTATTCTTAAAACCCCCGCTGTGTGTGTCCTAGATTGAATATGTCTATGTGTTGATAAAATGTGGAAGTTATGTTATGATCGGATAAACTAAACAGTTGTTAGAGAATCAAGAGTGGAACACGACATTCCTTAATCCCTGATTTGTGGCCTGTGGTATCTTTTCTATTACTAGAGAGAAAATAGGGACAGTGAGCTGAGAGGGGCAAGATCTGGCAACCGTCAAGGAAAAACGACCGGAATTGGAGTGTGTCTTTTTGTATCCTGTGCAAAGAACATCCTCACAGGGGAAGGACAAGGCATATGTATATTTCCAAGGAATGCAGAACCTACAGAAGTTGAAGAAAACAAGGATTTTCCTCTCCAACCAATAGAAAGAGTGGGCCTTCGGCTAGAGCTGGTACCCTGAATTCAGACTTGTTGTCTCCTGAACTGTAATAGATTTCTGCTTGTTGTAGGCACTTATTGTGGCATCTCTGTCACAGTAGCACTAGTACTTAAGACAACATGCATATGATTTCTCTGCACAGATAGGGAACATCACCAAATCAGTTCTTATTCATAGCAGTTCTTTGTGTTAGAAGAGAACTGCCTCGTTCCCCTCCCTGGATTTTTTCCTGGCTGGAAGCAAGCTGACTGCAGGCTTTTCTTTGGTGGCACCAGTGAGTAGGGTTGAACTTGCAACCTTTTAATCAGTGGTCAAGCTTTGACTTTCATCAGCGGTTAAATCATTGGTGCCAGCTTTAGGTCTATTCTCACAAAGCCAGAGTCATTGGTGTCATGTCAGAACCAGCACAGAGCTGATACTCTTGTGGCTTTGTCAGAGTTTGCAGATCAAAGAGGAGGAGATTGCCTATCTTTGTCCCCCAGAGAAGCTGGTGGATTTGAAACACCAGAGCTTGGCCTGTCAACTTGCAGTGCTGCTCGAAGGACCTCACCACCAGATACTCTAATGTGCACTGTTATTGTCGTTGTATGCCATTACGTTGGAACCGACCATTAAGTTGGAAGCTGATCCCCAGCAGGTTTTTAGAGGCAGTAAATTGCACAGAAGGAGATTGCCAATCCTTCTCCCCTGGGGCAGCTGGTGGATTAGAACTGTGTGCCTTCAGGATTGCAGTGTACAGTTCTTAGCACTAGGCCACCAGATTTCCTGACTGTGACAAATCTATCTATGTATGGTATTTTTTTGGTCATCATCAAAGAAGTAAGTATTAATTGTTTCAGAGATTACAAAATTTAGCATCAGAAAGGTTAAGCAACCTTTTGAAAGCCCAAGACAATCCCATTTAGAAGCTTTAAATGCAGGCTAACTTGACAATTCTTGTCCCTCTAGGGTCTGGGTCCAAATATTTTTAGTCTCATCTTACACTATACTGCCATGTCTGTCTTTTGTTTTTTCCATATTTGAAATCTTTTATTTCAATAGATTGCTTTTACAGAACTCATCAGTCAAGCTCTTACTCTGAATTTGCTTCCCTGTAGCCTTTTATGAATGTTTCAATCTTTTCTGTTTGCCTACTTCTCCCAAATAGAGATTTGACCTGGTCTCTGGTTAAAGCACTTTTCTAATTTCATTGAATTTTGTAAAATACACTTTATCAAAGGTTTTTTTTTGAGAACTTGTGTGCTTCTCCACAACTTTCCCTCTATAAACGTGATTTTTAAAGTACTTACATCCTAAGACCAAGAATCCCATGATGAGTAGTCCAATGCCAGCACCGCCAAAATGCACGTTATCTTCAGGATTTTGTCTGTCAGCTCCACCGGCATTTTCATTGTTATCATACCCTGAATTGGACCCATCGTTGTTGGAATAGTCCGTTGAAGTATAATCCCCATTGGAGGAAGTACTGGTATCACCTCCACCTCCACCTCCACCTTCAGTTCCGCTTCCGCCTCCACCTCCACCTCCACCTCCGCCACCACCTCCAGTATTAGGATCGCTGGGATCGGTACTGGTACTTGTGCCACCTCCCTCTCTCCAGCCACCAGAACCATCAAATTCAATAACGATTGTACCAGTGCAAGTTCTCTGAGCAGCATCTGTAAAAAAGTTCAAAACAGAAGATATGTTTTACTAATTCAGTTGAGCAACACAGAATTATTTTCCTTTTACACCAATATTTATTTCAGTTTCTTTATTTCTATCAAGTCAGTAGCTTCCCTAATTATCCCTTGTCTATAATTGTTTTTGTTTTGTTTGTTTATATCAGATTACTATGAATGTAGGAAGCTCTGGTGAGCTAGTCAGGGAGAAGTCGTGTTGCCAACTTCAGGGTGAGTGGTTCCAATCCACCAGCTCCTCAAAGGGAGAAAGATGGGCGATCTCCTCCCGTGTGATTGATTTACAACCTCTGAAAACCCACTGGGGGGGGACCTGGGGGGATGGGTATCATCTATGAGTCAATTCCTACAAGACAGCAATGAATTTGGGGCTAGAGTTTGTCTATCAATATTGACGCTTCCCTACCCCTCAACTGCCCCATGATAAGAAACGCAAATTGTAAATTTTACAAGGTCTACTGGCAACAGTTGGTTTTGAAATATTTGCCCACTTCTCTGTACCTTAAAGCTAGAGTTTGATTGATACTTTATTCTTTCATTTTTAGTGGCAATTTGATTCCGCTTCCACCTTGAGTTTTTGTTTATCTCCTCTCTTTTACAGGATGTCAGTTTTTTAACAGAATAGCCAGCCATTTCTACACAGGTCTCCTATGATGAAACTGTATCTCAAGCTCATAACTAACTTATGTTGTTGTTGTTATGTGGCACCGAGTCACCTACATAGCAACCCTATGTACAACAGCCCTAAATTCTGCCCTATCCTGTGCCAATCTCACCATCTCTGACACACCTACCCCCACTACCCCAGTCACTGAATCAATCCACCTCATAGAGGGTCTTCCTCTTCTGCACTGTCCCTCCACTCTCCAAAGCATGACATCATTTTCCAAGGACTGGTCCCTCCTTTCAACTTGTCCAAAGTATGTCAGACGAAGTTTCAGAATCCTTACCTCTAGGGAGCAGCCCAGTTTCACTCTCTCCAGGACAAATCTGTTTGTTTTCATAGCAGTCCATGTTATATTCAATACTTTTCTCCAACACCACAGCTCAAAGGCATCAATTTTCCTTCTATCATCCCTAGTCATTGTCCAACTCTCTGAAGCATAACAAGTGAATTGCAGAGACCATGGCATGTATCAGGCGCACCTTAGTTTCCAGACTGACATCTTTGCACTTCAGCACTTTAGAGAGGTCTCTAACCACTGACTTTCCCATCATAATACGTCTTTTAATTTCCTGGCTGCTGGTGCCAAGAGTGTTGACTGTGGATCCAAGCAAACCAAAACTGTGAACAATCTCAATCTCTTCAGCATCCATTATGATGTTGCCAATTGGCCCAGTGGTAGGAATCTTTGTTTTCTTGATAATGAGTCTCAATCCATACTGAAGACAGCGGTCCCTGACTTTCCACAGCAAGTGCTTCAGGTCCTCCTCAGTTTCAGCAAGCAGGGTTGTGTCATCTGCATAGCACAGATTGTTGATGATTCTTCCTCCAATCCTGATGCCACATTTCTTCTCAAAGAGCCCAGCCTCCTGGATAACCTGTTCTGCATAAAGATTGAAAAGGTGTGGAGACAGGATATAGCCCTGGCATACACCCTTCCCAGTTTTGAACCATGCAGTGTTTCCTTGCTCTGTTCTGATGACTGCCTCCTGGTCCAAGTATAGGTTTTACATTAGCACGATCAAGTGTTCTGGGATTCCCATTCTTCTGAGAGTTAGATCCACACAGTTAAATGCCTTTGCGTAATCAATGAAACAAAGATAGACATTCTGGTACTTCTTGCTTTCAGCTAAAATCCATCTAACATCAGCTACAATATCCCTAGTACCACAGCCCCTTCTAAACCCAGCCTGCACTTCTGGCAGTTCTCTGTTGATGTGCTGTTCCAGTTGTTTTTGGTTAATCTTCAGCAAAATCTTGCTTGCATGAGATATTAATGATGTTGTTCGGTAATTTCCACATTCTGTGGGATCACCTTTCTTTGGAATGGGAACAAAAAGAGATCTCTTCCATTCAATTGGCCAAGTGGTAGTGCTCCAGGTTTCTTGGCACAACTTGGTGAGCACATCCAGGACAGCATCTGTTAGTTAAAATATGTCCCTCGGTATACCATCAATTCCTGGGGCCTTATTCTCAGCCAATTCTTTCCAAGCAGTCTGAACTTCCTCCTTTATCACCATAGGCTCTTGCTCATGCGTTGTTTCATTAAATTCATCTGTGTCTGCCAATTCCTTATGGTATAATGACTCTGTATACTCTTTACATCTTCTTTTAATACTTTCAGGATCACTCAATATTCTGCCCAAAGCATCCTTAAGTATTGCAACTTGAGGCTTGAAATTCCTCTTCAGTTCTAACTTATTGGAGACATAACTGAGCTTTTAATTTCTCATAGTAATGAGGAATATTATTTTTGTTTAACAAGCTAATATCCAAATTTAATTTTTACCCTGTCCTTTAAAGTTTCAATACATTAATATTTTTGTTGACAAAGGAGAGGGGTGTGTATTGTATATATTTTGTAAGTGCTTATTTAATCAACCAACCAACCTGTATTTTAAAAGCAGATTTTAGTGGAACCATGCACTGCCAACCCAAAAGTGTATGGTTCAAATCTACTAGCTGCTCTGTGGTAGAAAAATGAGCAATCAACTCCCATGTGTTTTATTCCCTTTGAAAACCTGAGGGAAGGTCAATTTCTGGCTTGAAGGTACATAGTCACAGTAATAACATAAAAGATAGCACATAAAAATACATCCAACTTTAGATAAGCAGTGAAGCTGCAATATTAACTGCAAAAGGGGAAAAGTGAGATTTTTGGAATGATGAAAATATTTCACAAGGATAGAGAGGCAGGCAGGCAGGCAGATAGATAGACAGATAATACATATGTCAAAATTCACCAAGCTGTTGAGAGAGATGCAAATCAAGACAACTATGAGATATCATCTCACCCCAGTAAGACTAGCAAAATTTAACAGAACAGCAAGCAACAAATAAATGCTGGTGAGGTTGTGGAGAGACTGGAACCCTTATTCACTGTTGGTGGGAGTGTAAAATGGTGCAACCACCATGGAAAGCGATGTGGCGCTTTCTCAAAAATTTGCAAATAGAGATACCATTTGACCCAGCAATTCCACTACTGGGAATATACCCTAAAGAGACCATAAATGACCTCCAAGTAGATATATGCATACCCATGTTTATTGTGGCTTTGTTTACAATAAGGAGTTGGAAACAACCTAAGTGCCCATCAACAAACAAATGGGTAGAGAAGCTGTGGTATATTCGCACAATGGAATATTATGCTGCATTGAAAAACAAGGAACTCATGCAATATTATTCAAAATGGTTGACCCTGGAGGACATGATGCTGAGTGAGGTATCTCAGTCACAAAGGGAAAAATGCCATGGTGCCACTGTTGTAGAATGAGGCTGACCTCAGGGTGGGGGTAAGACTGAGAAAAACTGGATGAATTATGTTTACTGCATTGAAGTCTATGGGGGAGAGAATAGTTTAAAAGTATTATATTTTAGGGCATTATGTTTATCATAAGAGTACGGAATGAGGGTTGCAGAGTGGATTATATTTGGGGTTGAGGGTGGGGGATGTGCGGGGGAAATTGTGTACCAATGAGGGAGTTTTTCTTTTGCTTTTCAAGGAAAGGAGTTAACGGTGGGGGGGGGGGAAGGCGGGGAGGGGAGAAGGGTGCAACAATGAATGAATGGAATTCCAAAATCTCTGTAGATGTTCATTGAAGTGAAAAAGAAATAACTTAATTAATAAAAAAAAACTTGAAAAGAAAAAAAAAATTCACCAAACTGGATCTTTAAGATGCTTGTCTTTTGTTGCATGAAAATTATACCTTGATAGAATTGAATAAGAAACACATTTGAATCTGCATTTGTGCATTTAGCATATTAAAAATACCATTTCAAGTTAGCAAGTAATTATTTCTTCTACAAATAAAAGAAATTTAACCAAAATTTACTACTTGTGGAAAGGTAATAAAAAAGACATTTAAATGATAAAAAATTTCCACATCATTGTTAAAAACACACTTCTGCAACCATTCACCTTATATAAATAAATAATAGTTCATATAAATTTAATGAACATTATTTTAACGAGCCTTGAACATTGCTTTTATAGTTTTCATGCAGTTTTTCAAAATCTATTCTCTAACATTTTCTTTACAGGGATTCATTTGTCACATCAACACTATTTACTTTAAAAAAAATTAAATGTGTGGTAATCTATGATTAGAAATTTTTCACTGCATAAAAGGCACAATATTAAAAGTTCAAGGTATGATTTTCTTTCACTCCTTCAGAGACAAGATTTCCAGAATCTAGCACCAACTCTTGGAAAGTTTACTCATTTGTATGTATTATCATTAACCCTGAAATTTGTCCCAACATTGAGACTCTGGCTGAAATTTTGTGGGACAGATTAAGGCTTTACTAATGTAGGAATGGTCTTAATAGGAATATTATCTATTAGTCCATGCAGTTATTATTTTGATGTGATTTTTTGTGTGTGAATTCATTTTAAAAAATTCATGTTAACTTCCCCCCCCCCCATATTGATGATTTGAAACTATGGTAGGTTGCTAAAAATGTTAACATTTTGAATCTTCAAATCCTTTAAATATGATGCATTTCTTATCTACAAAGATGGTGATTTCAAATATCATCATATCAATTTTAAAAGGAAATCTGAGTGATAATACTTTTTTTCAAAGTTGGCAGGAAAGCAGCCAGGAAATCAAAAGACAAATTGCATTGGGAAAGTCTGCTGTCAGTTACCTCTCTAGAATACTGAAGAGCAACGATACTAGTCTGGAGAATAAGGTGTGCCTGATCCTGGGCATTTCTTTGCAATTACTTGTTATGTGTAAGAAAACTAGAAAATGACTAGGGATGATAGAAGGAGAATTGATGCCTTTGAGTCGTGGTGCTGGAGAAAAATATTGAATATACAATGGTCTGCTAGGAGTACAAATAGGTTCGTCCTACAGAAGGTGAGACCAGGCTGCTCCTTGGAGACGAGGATTCTGAAGCTACTTCTTACATACTTCGGACATGTTGCAAGGAGGGGGTAGTCCTTGCACAGGAACATCATGCTTGGAAGGGTGGCGGGACAATAAAGTTGGCTCAGGGTAGAGCAGGATTCAGAGCTGTCATACATAGGGTCATTAAGAGTGACAAGCAACTTGATGACACATAACAACAACAACATGTTACAAAATGCCACTACTTTTGTCTGTAAACTCAGGTAATTTAAAGCTACATTTTGTTTAGATAGAAGAGAAGTAACATTTTTAAAATATTTTGCTCAAATACAAGGGAAGAGAAATATCTTGTATATGACTATGGCCCTTTAAAGATATCAAAATACCCAATTTTCACAAGATATCACTTAACTCTTATATTAACCTAACTGTTGCTAGTAATATGATTTATTGGATTTCTTTTATAGTGCGAATAGGTGATAGCATATATAATTAGGAAAATATGTAATTGTAGAAATAAGCAATACAAAGCCAAAACACAAACTCAAATCCTTAATAGCAATACTCAAGGATAATCCCTATTTATATTTTTAAGTATTATCTCTTGGCCTTATTGACAGTGCACAATTTTTGCTTATTTCTTTATGTTAATATGGATATGTTCATGTGACTCTTATAATTTTATGTTTTAACTTTAATAGCCTTTCTTGTTTTGATAAACTTTTCATTTGTATAATGTCAAAAGGGTAGGTGATTTTATATCAAGTGCACTATGATTTACATTACTCAGATACCTATTATATTTTTAATGTTACTTTCAATATTTTATTATTAAAGACAATTCTATAATTAATGTGTTTTGTTCATTCAGCTTTGTAGATTTAGGTCTTTTTCACAAGGACAGACTACCAGAAGTAGAATTATTAGGTAAAAATATAGAAATGATTTTGTTTGAGGGGCTTGGTTTTATTTCCATTGTTAAGATGTAAGATCTATTATCTGACAGCCTTGTAGATGTAATCACTACATGGCTTCTTAAAAAAAAAGAATAAAAATATCCTAAAAGCATATGGGATAGATCACATCTAATAATTGCCAGCAAAAGGTAGTATTTCCTGAGGACTAAAAGGGAGATTTGTATTTGAGAAAGCGGCAGTTAATTGCAAGGTTAGCAGTTGAAACCCATCAGCCACTCTTCAGGAGAAGGTTGGGCTGTATCCTCTCACAAAGATGTAGAGTTTCCAGAAGGGAGCCTCTAAATTTACAAACTCTAACCAGAATAGAAGGAGAATTGACGCCTTTGAGCTGTCTGTGGTGCTGGAGAAGAGTATTGAATGTACCATGGACTGCCAAGAAAACGAACAGATTCATCGTAGGGAGGGTTAAACCAGGCTGCTCCTTGGAGGCAAGGATTCTGGGGCTTCGCCTGACATACTTTGGACATGTTGTAAGGAGAGACAGGTCTTAAGACAGGGACATCATGCTGGGTAGAGTAGAGGGACAGCTCAGGAGGGGAAGACCCTCTTGTGAGGTGGATTGATTCAGTGACTGGGGTAATTGGGATGGTTGTGTCAGAGCCAATGAGATTGGCATAGGATAGAGCACGGTTTAGGGCTGTTGTACATAGGGTCGCTATGAGTCGCAAATGACTTGACGCCACATAACAACAACAACCACAACCAGAATATTACCATCAAGTCATTTCTGCTTCATGCTGTTGTCAGATGCTGCTCAGTCGAATACAACTCATAGCTATAATGTGAACAACAGATCTGAACCCTGTCCTATCCGGTGCCATCCTCATTTCTGATATACTCAAGCCTGTTGCTACAGTACTCATAGAGACGCTCAGTTGGGATTTTGAGACTATACATCTTTTTTGGGAGGAGACCACCCACCTTCCTCCCACAGAGTGCCTGGTGGATTTGAAAAGCTTCTTTTTTGATTATATGCACTATGCCACTAGGTATTCTTCATTGTTATGGGTTGTCCAATCAGAATGGATGTAAATTTCTTTGCACAATGTTCTTGTTTTGTGGAGTCAGAACCAACTCATAGCTGACCCTTAAGTGGGTTTTCAGAGGCTATAATTTCACAGGAGGAGATTGTCCATTTTTTCTACCATGGAGTAATTGATGGATTTGAACCGGGTGTCTCTGAGGTGGTAGTGCAGCTTCTTAGCACTAGGGCAAAAAAGCTACTTTCTTTAGTGACTGTTATTTGTTGTTATGTGCCGTCGAGTCACCTGTGACTCATAGTGACCCTGTGAACAAAAGCCCTAAACCCTGCTCTACCCTGTGCCAATCTCACTGTCTCTGACATACCTACCCCCTTTACCCTAGTCACTGAATCAATCCATTGAAGGTCTTCCTCTCCTGCGCTGTCCCTCCATTCCCCCAAGCATGATGTCTGTCTCCAAGGACTGTCCTTTCAACATGTCCAGAGCATGTCTGACGAAGCTTCAGAATCCTTGCCTCCAAGGAGCAGCCCGGTTTCACCCTCTGTAGGACAAACCCATTTGTACTCCTAGCAGTCCACAGTATAGTCAATACTTTTCTCTGGCACCACAGCTCAAAGGCATCAATTCTCCTTCTATCATTCCTAGTCATTGTCTGGCTTTCTGATGCATAGCAAGTAATTACAAAGACTATGGCCTGGATCAGGCCTACTTTACTTTTGTTGGTTTTAAAAATTAATTCAAGCACGCTACTTCCTTTTTTCTTAACTCAAAGGTGACAATTTTTTTTAAATACATAAAAGTAAATTAAGTTGGTTTTTAATGCAAATATTGTAAAATGAATATTAACAGTATAGTTTCACAATACAGTTAAAAAATTTTGGTTAGTGATGTCAGAGGTCACATTTATTGAATGTCAGTACTCTTCTAAATGCTTGTTAGTACCACTGAGTTAGAACAGACCCATCGCTGACCCTCTGGCAGGTTATCAGAGGCACTTAATTGGCTAAGAGAAGATTGTCCATCCTTCTCCTGGGAGCAGCTGGTAGATTTGAACAGCTTGCTTTTAGGAATACAGCACGTCTTCTTACCATTAAGGCCACTCCATTGGTGGTGGAGTTCAATGCCACCGTGTAAGTATCATAGAGACCTTATGAACAGCAGATCTGAACCCTTTACTATTCTGTGCCATTCTTATAATTTCTAACACACTGGAGCCCATTGCTGCAGTCACTGTCTCAAGCCATCTGGTTGAAGCTCTTCATCTCCTTCTCTAACCCTCCACCTTTCTGAGCATAACTCTATTGTTGTTGTTGTGAATCTTAGGAACTGACCCATAGCTGACTTTCTGGTGGTTTTCAGAGGCAGTTAATTGAATGGGAGAAAATTGCCCATCCTTATCCCATAGAGCAGCTGGTGGGATTCAAAGCACAATCTTTCAGGATTGCAGCACAACTTCTTGAAACCAATCTGCCAGAGCTTCCTCAGTTAGTTTTCCTAAATCTGTGTCGTTACTATTGTTCATGTTACAGAAGAGAAGGTCAACACAGAGATGTGTTAAGTTGCTTATTTAGGTGGCTGTAGCTGATATGTGATGCTATAAGATATCAATGTAGTCTTATCCTAGAACTCTTGATATTAGCCACGAAATTATACTACCTCCCATAATGTTAAAGAGCTGGATATTACAGTGCCCAATAAAGCAGATTTTTTTTCTTTGAGAAAGTTTCATCTCAAAATAGTGAAGAGAATTAAAAAAAAATTTCGCCTCTTAGTATATCGCTTCCTTAAGAGAAGGAAAACGTTAAATTGATTGATTTCTTACCATCTATAGATAGAATTGTTCCTTGATATTTCCCCCCAAGCATTTCATATTGTTGTCTGGTTATTTTATCTACCAAAGTAATCATGCCTGTTCTTGAATCAACAGCTATCAGGTTGCCTGGATTACTTCCCATTACGTATCTGTGTTTTAAAGAAAACAATACAAATCAATGTCATGTACTTAACAAATAATTTTAAATATATTTTTCAATCATAACTTTAACCCTTACATATACTTTTCAATTATTACAGATATAATATCTCATCTTAATGTTGCAATTGTTACAGACATCATCATCATCATCATCATCATCATCGTAATGCCTGAGCCCCTCTCCTCCTTCCCCCTTGCCCACCAATGAGTCCTAGCTGTTTGGTGTCATTTAGAAGTTGACAACAATTTAAACTTAAGAAAATATAATTACTGACAGCCATTTTGATAGATTGTCTTTCTATGACCATTTGGATGTCATAATAATTCTTCAATGCTTTTAGTCTCATGTTTATCTGATTTTGGAAGCATCAGAACTGCTGGGAAACTGGACCATGGGAATTCCTGGGCTGTCCCTAATTTTAACCTGTTATGTTACTAAACAAGTTACTTCTTTATCATCTTGACTTTCCCTTCCTCCTTGTTTCTTGTCCTTCTCACCACATACAACTTTATAGGCTTGCTTTCAAATCCTAAACTGTGCCTCTTATAACGTTCTCTTTGTTTTCTTTCCCTCTCATCTTTGCCTCAGTGATGTTCCCCTCATTCACCTATTTGTTAAGGAAACAGCTGCTCTGTAATCCTTCTCTGTATCAGGCATTGTGTTAACTTCAAGAAAGGAAACCTGGCTGTGGGGCACGTGTAAGCTGATCTATTATAGTGATACTGGGCTATAAGTATTATAATAGAAACATTACAAGGTACAACTCCAACACAAAGGACTTTAAAGAACATCTGTGTGGTTTCCCATTTGAATTCGCTGTTACATTGATCATAAGCTCTACAAAACCACTTATGCATATACACTCACGTTTTTCTTGATCAAGTAGAAATACTTATGTAGAGTTTTTAAAAAGTTAAATGATATACTTTCTCCTTAATAGAACTAGTCTTCATAACACAATTGCTGACCAATATTAAGTGGAATTAACGTGAAGAAAGCCACTGAGATGGTCTGGTTAAATCTGATTGATTGCAAGCTGGGTAAATTTACATGAGAAAAATCAGTCTGTTAATGCCATAATAGTTGCCCACGGTGGACAGTGTTTGATGGAACACCCTGTTTATGACAAGTTTGGAATCAGGAGTGGCATCTGCTTCCTAAACAACATGTCTCTGGAAGCTCTACATACTATGTTGATAGGTATAGAAAAGCTTTTGGCCTTTTGTTCATAGGGTCGCTATGAGTCGTGCTCGACTCAAAGGCAATCAACAACAACAACAACAATAACAATATATTCTAGGCAATGGCCATGGCATGTAGTGACTAGCTAACTGGTCAAAAGAAAATATCCACAACACTAGAGTGTCAAAACTTTAAGTGATAGTATTTTTACATCTTTAGTTTTAGAACCTTTACTTTTTACACATTACATCTTGAATACACATTTTCTTATTCATTAGATTAAGCAATTGTTTCATAGTTACGAATTTTTACAATTGCACTGTAGTTCAATAGTGATAAAAAGTATTTTAATTCAGACACTTCCTATTTCAAAAATGAGCGTGTGCATTTAGACTCTGCCCAAACCATATACTCATTATGGTTGAGTTGGTGTTGACTCACAGCGACCCTTTAGAAGAGAGTAGAACTGCTCCACAGGATTTCCAAGACTTGAATCTTGAGGGAAACAATGTCACTTCATTCTTCTGCAGAACAGCTAAGTGGTTTTGAACTGCCAACTTTCGTGTTGGCCGCCACACACATAACCACCACACAGATTGGGCTTTTTTTAAGGTTTCACAGATGGTGAATATTAGTTGGATCATGTCTGTCTTACCTGACAGTTGTTGAAGGTCCACCTGTGTCCAGGTCTGTAGCTACAAACTCTCCCAGTCGATAATTTTGTCCCATGCTACTGGTCACAACGTATGTTTTTGTGCCTGGACGAAACACTGACCCTTCAATGACGTTTACCACGGCCACTGAGATGGCAGTTGCTGTGATTTTATACTGAGATATAACTGACTGATGGAATTCAGCTTTGTTTCTAACAGCAATACTGAGCTGCATGTTTTGCATTGCTTCATAGTCCAGGGCCTAGAAAGACAAGAATGGAATAATCTTAATATAAAAAGGATAACATTTCATGGAAAATGAAGTCTTTTGAAATAGTTAAAATAACCCCTCACTACTTTTCTGTGATTAAGCATAAATTCTTAGAAATACACAATCTATATTTTATTTATTTTTAAATCCACATAATTCATGCAAACATAGGTAAAATAAAAAACCCAACAACACTCCAGTTGCCTTAACGCCATTATTGAAAACGTTGAACGTTTATGACATGAGGTCTGGTTTTTTGCAAAACAGTTAAAAGCTGAAAATAATATAGTGGTCAAATTGACATATTCCATAGCATAGTCAAAGGAAGTTAATTCTGGTTTCTAAGATTTTGTTTTTCTCAACAAGTAGCACTGTGCTTTAAAAAAATATGGATTGAGTACTTTAAATGTTTGGTTGTTTGACTGGTTTGACTCATAAAGAAATAGTTAGAGAAACTTGTACTACAGTCAAAATATCTCTTTTATACTATTTTACCTAATAAACTAAAAACTCTTTGCCATCAAATTGGAACCAACTCACAGCTGACTCTCCAGTAGGCATCTGGACATTTAAAACGGAGAAGAGGAGATTGCTCATCTTTCTCCTGTGAAGCTGCTGGTGGGTTTAAACTTCCAGAGGCACCATCATTGGGTCAACAGCACAACTGCCCATGGACTGTGCCACCAGAACAACTAGGTAATGGAATGCTGTATGTGCGTGTGTGCATATACATGTACACAAAATGCATATGTGTGTGCACATATATACATACACAATACACACATGTATGTGCATATATACACGCACAAAATCATGTGTGTATACATACACAAAATTAAAGTGTGCACACATTCATAAAATACATACTACATACATATACAAAATACATGTGTGTATATACACATACAAAAGGCATTCATGTGTATGCAAAATACATATGTGTGTGTCTATACATATACAAAATACATATGTGTGCATATATGTATATATACAAAATACATACATATGTGTATATACATATACAAAATACATATGTGTATACACAAAATGTATATGTGTGTATATACATATACAAAAGACATATGTGCTGTGTGTATATATATGTATAATAAAACTTCAAGACAATTAAGATTTCATGTTTGCAAGAATGAAATCAGGTACTTCTTTGAAAATGCTTTAAATTTGTATCAGCTACAGGTAGCACTATATTGATGTTGCTGTTATGTAGTAGAGTTTAAAGTGCAACACACACACACACACACACACACACACACAAAATTACATATGTTGTTGTTGTTACGTGCCCTTGAGTCAGCTGTGACTCATAGTGACCCTATGTACAACAGCAATCCTGCTCTATCATGTGCCAGTCTTATTGTCTCTGATACACCTATCCCCATTACCCCAGTCACTGAATCAATTCTTCTCATCGAAGATCTTCCTCTTTTGTGCTGGCCCTCCACCCTCCCAACATGATGTCCATCACCAAGGACTGATTCCACCTTGCAACATGTCCAAAGTATGTCAGATGAGCTTCAGAATTCTTGCCTCTAAGGAACAGTCTGGCTTCTCCCTTTCCAGGACAAATTTGTTTGTTCTTCTAGCAGTCCATGGTATATTCAATCCTCTTCTCCAGCATCAAAGCTCAAAGGCATCAATTTTCCTTCTATCATTCCTAGTCATTGTCCAGTTTTCCAATGCATAGCAAGTAATTGCAAATACCATGGGATATATCAGGCACACTAATCTCCAGACTGACATTGTTGCTCTTCAGTACTTTGGAGAGGTCTCTGGCAACAGACTTTCCCAATGTCTTTTCATTTCCTGGCTGGTGGTACCAAGAATGTTGATTGTAGGGCCAAGCAAACTGAAGCTGTCAACAATCTCAATCTCCTCACCATCTATCATGACACTGCCAATAGGACCAGTGGTGAGAATCTTTGTTTTCTTGATATTGAGCTTTAATCCATATTGAAGGCTGCAGTCCTTGACCTTCTGCAGCAAGTGGTTCAGGTCCTCTTCAGTTTCAGCAAGCAGGGTTGTATCATCTGCAGATTATTACTTCCAGTCCTGATGCCACACTTCTCCTCATAGAGCCCTGCTTCATGGATAATCTGTTCTGTGTATAGATTGAAAAGGTATGGAGATAGGACACATCCCTGGCATATACCCTTCCCAATTTTGAAGCATGCTTATTTCCCTTTTCTGAGTCTCAATGTCTTTGCTTTTTATATGAGCATTATATGGCCTAGTTTGCAGGGATGCTGTGCGGACCAGAGCATCTTCACATTGGCTCAGTAAATGGATGCTATAGCGATATCAGAAGAGACTCTGAATATTGCACTAGAGCGTGAAGAAGCCAAAGCAAAGGGAAGAAATCAAGAAGTTAAGGAGCTGAATAGAAGATTTCAAAGGGCTGCTCTGGAAGACAAGGCAAAATACTATAGTGAAACGTGCAAGAAGCTAGAGTCAGAAAAATCAAAAAGGATGAACTTGCTTGGCATTTCTTAAGCAGAAAGAACTGAAGAATAAATTCAGACCATTAGTTACAATGCTTAAGGATGCTATGGGTAGAATATTGAATGATTCAGAAAGCATTAAAAGAAGATGGAAGGAGTGTACAGAGTCATTGTACCAAAAAGAATTAGCTGACACCAAAGAATTTCAAGAAACAACATATGATCAAGAGGCAATGCTGATGAAGGAGGAAGTACAGGTTGCTCTGAAGGACTTGGCAAAAAATAAAACCCAGGAACAGATGGAATATCAATTGAAGTATTTCAGAAAACAAATGCTGTCCTGCAAGTGCTCACCAAGTTGTGCCAAGAAATCTGGAGTACAACTACTTGGCCAACTGACTGGAAGAGATCCATATTTGTTCCCATTCCAAAAAAAGGTGACCGGACAGAGTATGGAAATTATCAAATAATATCATTAATAGCACACACTAGCAAAATCCTGCTAAACATTATCCAGAAAAGACTTGAATGGTACATTGACGGAGAACTACCAGAAATACAAGGTGAGTTAAGAAGAGATTGTGGCACTTTACTGCCAATGTCAGATGGATCTTGATAGAGAACAGAGAATATCAGAAGAATGTCTTGCCATGTTTCATTGATTATTCAAAGACATTTGACTGTGTGGATCACAGTAAATTGTGGCTAACCTTGAGGAAAATGGGAATCTCAGAGCACTTGATCTTGCTTATATGAAATCTATGCTTGCATCTGGAAGCAGTCCTCAGAACAGAGCAAGGAAACACTTCATGGTTCAAAATCAGTAAAGGAGTGCATCAGAGATGCATCTTGTACCCATACCTTTTCAATCTGTATGCAGGACAGATCATTCAGGAAGTAGGGCTTTATGAGGAGGACTGTGGCATCAAAATTGGAGGAAGACTCCTTAACAACTTACGATATACAGATGACACAACTTTACTTGCTGAAGAAGACCTGAAGCACTTGCTGCAAAAGGTCAAGGACTGTAGTCCTCAATATGGATTGAAGAATGAGATAGATTGATGTAGTGACTGGGACAATGGGGGTTAGTGTGTCGGAGTTAGTGAGACTGGCTCAGGACAGGAAGGGTTCAGAGCTGTACATAGGATCATTACACATTGCAGGCGACTCAATGAACATTAACACGTATTAACAGGTTTGGAAGATGAAGTGGCATCCACTTCCTAAAACAACATGTCTCCAGAAACTCTATGAACTTGGATAGATGTTGATAGTTGTAGAGGGGCTTCAGGTCTTTTGTTCACATGGTAACTACAAGTTGTGCTCAACTCAAAGGCAATCAACAAAACAAATAGGGACAGTGGCACTGACATTACACTAATAGACTTGGACAGCAACTAATCACAATTAAACAAATAAGCACAGATTCTATGGAGACAGAAGTCCTTAGATCCCCACAACTGTTCTGAAGGAAAGAAATAGTAAACCAGGGATATTTATTTTAATGTGAAGACTGCATATCACATGAACTAGATGTGATCCATATGTTGTTACTGCAGATTTAAAAGAAAACAAAAGAATATCTATGAGCTTTGTAGTGCAAGGAGAAACTTTCACCGGGGGCTCCCTAGGAAGCTATTTTTTCCCCTCATACCTGAGAGAAGATTCTGCTGCGAATGTGTAAATGCGGTGCTTTATTAAGCATAGAGATCTGTGTTGACTGAAAACGACTCTAGTGTATAGATGTTCTTTATAGGCATTGGTGGCCTAGTGGTAAGAATTTGTGCTGCAATCCTGAAAGCATGTAGTTTGAATCTGCCAGCTGCTTCATGGGAGAAGGATGTGCAATCTTCTCCCATGCAATTAATTGATTCTGAAAACCCTCTGGAGGGTCATTTGTGGGTAAGTTCTAACTTCATGGTACACAACAACAACAACAACAACAACATACGCATTGGTAAGCAGGCATAGTGAGATAGGAATGTGAGAATCCTAAAAGGGACAGAAATTTTTTTTAATCTTACAAAAACATAATAGAGGAATAAACTTTTAATGTTCATAATAGGAATTTTTACTGTATAATACCTGATACATAATACCTCGCTGCAAATAATGTTGATATGGACACAATTTCTAGGCACACCCAAATCTCTTTTTTAGCAAGAAATTCTCAAAATATCTAAAGCAAAACCTTAGCACTTAGTTATGATTTCTTGTTTGCAAAATTGAAATCAAGTACTTGTTTGAAAATGCTTTAAATTTATATAAGGTACAAGGAGAACCATATTGATGTTGCAATGTACAGTTTAGCAACTCTTTTTTTCATCAAATAATATGCAAAGAAAAATGTTCTCTGCAAAAATGTTCTCTAGTAGACATTATAATAGAGTGGTTTTTCCTTCACTACCTCAAGTTTATGCAGCATCATTTAGTTTTAACATTGAAAACACAAAAGATCAAGACCATGGAAGATTTAGGATAATTATTTCTTACCTTAACAACTTTTAAAGTTCCCACATTTGTTCTTTCATTCATTTCTATGTCAAACCAGCCTCCCTCATTTCCAGAGACAAAGAAGATGACCCCTATCCAGTTAGCTGTGAACTCCTCATCCAAATCTATTACTCTTATCTGGAGTAAGTTTGAATTCAGAGAGTTTTCTTCAATACTTATGGAATACTGAAAAGAGAAGTAAAACATGGAAACACAAACATTGTTGAGTGAGAAATATATACTAGTCTTACACTAAAATACTTATTTATTACTTTAAGAAAATGTCAGTCTCATTTTCATTATTCAAATACATTTCCCCCATATAACCGTCATATAAAATAACCCTAGTGAGACAGTGTGCCTACATTCAGAGTGCCTGTGACTACAGAGACATCAGTCAATAGAATTGATTGTGCCAATTTGAGAATGTAAAGGATTTGCAGATATTAATTTCAGAAGCAGAAGCAAATACTTACTGAAGACTGTTCCATGTACGGGAAGTTATCATTGACATCGAGAATTTTAATGGAACTTTCACACTCTGCTGACATACCATCCACCCCGCCGTCTCGATCCGAGCCCCTTACAACGAGAGTATACTGGGAATATTCCTAAAAACAAGTAAGACAAGCAAGGTCAACGTTGATGTAGACAGTCCTTACTCTGTCTCCTGCAGAGTTGTTTTTGTTTTGGGGTTTTTTTTTAAATTCAAGAAATTTTGGTTTTATACTGGTTTGCTTACAAAGTTCATATACACTGTTTTACATACTATCTTCACTCACATTGTGCTTCATACAATTATTCCCATTCATTATATTTTATAAACTTAATCAAATTGAAATATGCCCACCATTGCGCTGTGCTCCCAGATCCCTGCTGGATCGTTCCCATGCCTCCGTCAACGTATCAAATTGTACAGCCTTATCATTACCCCGCTTGCCCAGCCTCACCCTTCTGCTCCTACCCTCCCCCCTCCTGGATCCTTGTATGCATTTTACTAGTTATTTTTCTATTTTCATGGTAATGGTCACATGCAGTATTTGTCTTTATGGGACTAAGTTCACTTAGAGTAATACTTTCTGGGGGGCTCTTTAGAAAGGTTAGCTCATTATTATCATAATTTCATGGTAGTGGTAAAGATAACAGAGTATTGAGCACTTTGATTAGAGGAAGTGAACCTTGAGTCTTGCGCCTTAGACCACTGGACCATCCTGACACTTAAACTCTTTGAAATGCTTCATGAATCAGTACAGAAATTCCCCCTTCCATTCTCAACTGTGTGTATCTAGCTTCCTTTAAGATAAAGAGTATTTTTTAAAGGCCTCATTTCTTTCTTAATCATGGTATTTGTATTGATGGGAAAGTTTATGAGTGAAATGGGCCAGAATGATCAGGAGGTGAGAAATGATGTATATAATTGTTGGAGAGTCATAGAGACATCGTGAGGTCTCAGCCTGAATCACAGATGAAAGAATATCTGCTCCAACAGCTTCAAAGTGGCTGCAGATTTCTTTACTCCTGACACTCCTTTATCAGAGTTCCTCAGCACTGAAAGTTCTTTGAAGTAAAGGAGTCCCATTGGTAGCTTTGGTGGTTCAGTGGGTAAGGAGTTGTATTCTCAACCTGAAGACAGGCAGCTCTGGGAGGGGAAGAGGGAAGGTCTCCACCCATGCCTTTCCAAAGTCTGAAACATTGTGGGGGGGGAGATGTGAGTTAAGATTCTGACCCCACTGCAATGAGTTGTGGTTATTTGCTTAATTATTCTTCAAGAAATTTTGAGAAAGAAAATTCCAATTTTTTTTTTTTCAGATAGTCATTTTTAAACAAACAGGTACTTTAGGTAATTAGAAAGTGATTACATTGGGTTTGTGGTTGTTGTGTGTAATCAAGTTGGAACTGACTCATAGCTGACTCTGCAGCTGGTTTTCAGAGGCAGTCAATCCCACAGAAGGAGATTTATTAAATTATGTTAAGAATAATGCTGATATGTCCTAATATAACATAGGGATCATTAGCAGTGAATTTGTAATTTTTAAATAACTATAAACTCCCAAAACAAACTCATTGCCAAAGTCATAACAAACTTACGACAGGATCCATGTTCATGCGCATTGGGACTCACTAAGATGAGTTTCTAATATCGAGTGTTTCTCAAACTTGTTTCATGATAGAACATTCTCTGAAGTTGAACTTCCTTTCTTTTTTTATTAAAAAAGAAAAAGTTTCATTCAAAATTTGCCCAGCAGATTAGGTTACCATTTGACAATTTCTACACAAGTTGTCAATGGAGCTTCTTGAATTGAATGCTGAAGTAATAAAATAGGCTAATCCTTGGAATTATCTTTTTTTTCTCTCCTTGAAATTCTCCATAGCATTCTCAATTTACATACTTTTGGAATATTTTTGAATAGTCTTACAACTGAGGTAAATCTCGAAGTAAAATCATATGAGAAATGACTATGAAATGCATTTAAGTTCCATGTTCACATTTAAGATTGTGTTTTTGTCTCATTACCATTATGTGAAGTGATTGCATATGTAAAATTAAAGTATATTGATCTTTCCCCTCTCATTTTTCTCTTAGTTATTCATATTTTTCAGAATCAGTTCCTTTGAGACTAAATAACCATTCAAGGGTGGGGGGACGAGTACCTCTCTGTCTAGAAAATTATTCATTGTTCGAATTTCTCCAGTGTATCGATTGATGATAAACATTGGTGCATCTGAAGGTTCCTGTCTTATGATCTTGAAGGCTATTTTCGAGTTCAAATTATTTGGTTCATCTGCATCAGTAGCATTGAGTACCATGACCAGCGTATCTGGAAATCAAGAAAACAGATGCAAATCGACAGTTGATCATTTTGCTACAGTGCAGTTAATCACTTCCACACATGGCTTGCGTGTTAGTTTCCCCCACACAATGAGCATTTACCAGGCTTCCTTTCTGCTTCTTGAACACATCTGCATCTTAACTCTTTTTTGTCTAGACTTTAGTGAAAGTAAGACACAAGGGAAAAATATTGCTCTGGCTTTAAATGTCTTATTCCTTCCATCCTCTACTTCTTTTCAGCTTCTGGGACTAAGGAAATGATATTATATGAGACCACTTACTCCTGGATGCAACAATTTCTAACTCAATGATTGTAAACTCAGTTTCCACCTCTATAATACTGCCTTCTTCACTGAGTTTACACTAGAATTAAACCACTGAAGTGGCATCCACTTCCTAAATAACAGGTCTCCGGAAACTCTATGAACTTTGATAAATGTCAATGGTTGTAGAGGGGCTTCAGGCTTTTTGTTCATGGGGTCACTCTGAGTCATGCTCTGCTTGAAGGCAATCAACAACAACAACAATGAGGGAAAACATATAGTGTATATACTGAATAATCCAAGACGAGTAAATAGTATATATAATTGTTTTTCTGTATCTCTCAGCCCTTAGCAAAGTGCTAGCTTAATAGATTACTAGTAGGTTTAAATAAATGTTTACTTTGTCCTCTTTCATATTTTCCATTAATCTTACTAGCTGGTTTGTGTGTGTGTGTGTTTATAAAGGACGATGGAGAGTTTGAAAAGCTGCTAATTTTCATAGACTAGAATGCTTTTCTATGCAGTGTTATTTTTCAATGATCACACACCAGGTAATTAGTTAATTATGTTACATTAATATCATAAAATGCAGTACACACTGTTAAAAGGAATGGAGAAATATCTATATACTGTTGTGGAAATATGTTCAAAGTATTTTTAATTAAAAAGTATGCTGTGGATAAGTAAAGATAGTCTCATTTGTGTCTAAAATCACATTTACGTATGTGATGTGAAAGTTGGTATTAAAGAGAATTGACAATGGATTTCCTCTTTTTACTTTCATGTTGTATGACTTTTTACAGGTATTTTTTAATATATATATATTTCTTAAAGTTTAACTAATTGGTCCAATATTTTAAGGGATAAGATTGAAATGCAAGATTTTTTTCAAATTGATAAGACTCTGCACTTAATTGCTATTAGGAATAGGAAATAGGAATAGGAAACATTAACTTTTTAATTCAGAACTACTGCTGTTTTTAATGTATTTAGGGAAATCTTCACTGGTGTTTTAACTGACTAATGTACTATCTTTCCTAAATAGCAGTATTTAGCAGTTAAAATGTTTTCACTGACACTATACCTACTCATCACTTATTGGCTAACTATTTATCCAACATTTTATATGTAGAACAACTTTGAAAAATTCCCAAGTAGTGCCTTCAATTGGAGTACATTTCATAGACCACCCTGATCATATCCTGGAAACTTCAGTAATTATCAGGCTTAATAATGGTGGACAGTTGGCCACAGGATACCTTCTCTTGCTGATCTAGTATGTCTTGAGTGGACCATGGAGTTGAATGGAGGACAAGGGTGGAAAGACTCAGTTATAGGCATGTAGAGGGAGGCTGAGTGTGGCCTGAAGGTGCTGGAGAGGCTGGGGGTGGCTGAGATGATGAAGGAGAGGGAGAGGGAAGGTGACCATACTGGGTTACAGAGTTGGAAGGAAGAAGGATGAGCAGGGTTCCCAGGATGGGTGGTGGGGAGGCAGCATGCAGAGAATGAGGGTGAGTGAGAGTGGCCACCAGGATGGATGGCAGAAGGAAGTAGGTGGTGGGAAACATCTGACTGTTACTATTACCACCCCCATCACCTCAACTCCCACGGTGTCTGTGGATTCTCTGGTGGAGGAGGCTTGGCGGGGAAAGGGAGCCTACCCTGTGATGTACATTCTGAGACACACTGTGAGTTCATGGCAGGCAGTGAGTCAAGGAGAGGGAATCTGTCCCAAAGATGGGCTTGACCCATGACTCTCACTTATTGCTGATTTCATTCATGGACCTGGTCTTCTGAAACTTACCAGTCAGATAAATGAGGTTTAGGCATGGGTATAAGAGAAGTGGAGGTGACTTGTAAAAAAGCATGGTGTATAAGATTCTGTAAACTTTAGATTTTCAAAGCCTTTGTAGGTTAAATGCATTAGTTGTGCAGGTTTTCAAAACACTCAAGATCAGCTTTCAGAATGCATGGTGAGCTAAACAGGATTAAGTTTATAATGCTTTTTGAACATGCAAAGCCAGCTATTTGAGTAAAAATGCTTATGAGACTAGTACTTATTATATTATACATAAGGAAAGGGTGGGAGTGGGAGAGAAATAAATGGCTTTGCATTCATTTGTTTTTGATAAAAGCTCTTGGAGATTACAGCCACAAAATAGGTTGGTTATAAGTGATTTTTAGAAATAACTTTAAAGTAGTTCTTTTTAAAAACCTCCAAAGCAAAACAGCAGTATTAACAGAAGTGGGTGGGGTTGCAGTTCTAAGCAGTGAGACTCTAAGGCTTAAGTCTCAGCCTGAGGCCACTGTCACCACTGTGCAAATGGTTTTGGAATTTCTTACTGGGAATCACCTACAAAGACAGCGTGTAACAAGATAAAGTCCTTCTCACTAGTTTGGCATTGTTCCTTGTATATAACAGATCTGAACTGCTCCCATAAATCCCGAGAAAGCCATTAGGGAGATTTCCCTGATGTCTTTCCAGTCTGCATGTTTTTTCATAGCTTGTCTCTTACATTGCTGTGAGACCTTTACACAGCTTACCTTCTAGTTGCCTGGCTAAGGAGAATGATCTATTGGCCAAGACAGATTTCTTCACTGGAGGATGGAGGTTACTTACTTGCATTTGAATTTTCTTCTATTTGTCCCACAAAGGTAGACATAGAAAATACTGGAGGATTGTCATTTATGTCCAAAACCCTGACCCTGAGCTCAAGTGGTCTCTCTAAATCCTTCCCCATCGCATTCAGAGCTCGACAATAGATCTAGGAAAGAAAAGAGAAATAATGATTCAATGCAACACCTGTTTATTAAAGTCTCACTTTGTGTATTGTGCTAGACATTGTGGAAAACTTGAAAGAAAAGAGAGACGTACTGTGTCCCACCAGAACGTTGTCATAGCAGTACTTCTAATTAATACAGGGAGGCAAATACTAACACAAAATGTCATATAAGAAAAGGTACATAGGAATAAATATTATGAAAGAAATAATATTTCTACATAGGAAGAAATATTATGACTTATGAGTATTATTGAATTATTATGACCAAAGAAGATTATGACTGCATGTGAGGGTATAATAATTGAAATAGAACTTTCACGAATTTGTGTGTTATCCTTGTGCAGGGGCCGTGCTAATCTCCTCTGTATCATTCCAATTTTAGCACATGTGCTGTTGAAGTGAGCACTGAAATAGATCTTTAATGATAATTTCAACAAGTAGAGCTGGGACTTGGTAGAGGTATTCAGGTATTTACCAAGTAAAGGTTTTCAGATAAGAAAGAAATAGTGTGAAGAAAAGATGATGTCCAAAATTTGAAATAGTGGTGTTGAAAGGTTTGAGGATCTGCTTAAGGAGTCACGTGAGGAATTCAAAGAGATGTTAACAGTTCTTACGATAGGTGCTGCCTGCCTCGTTGCTTGCATTACTACTATTTTATAAGATGTACATAACTACATACTTAAAATTATTGTTTTACATAGACTCTAATTTTTATATAAAAATGGTCAGTTCCAACTTGATAGTTCACAACACAAGAGAAAGAAAGGCTGAAATGTTGACTTTGAGGGTGTTTGAAGAAACATGGTGGAAGACACGGTAGATATATAGGTCTGAAATTTAAAATTAAAAACTAATGTGATCTGAGGAAAGAAGATGAACTCTATGAGTCAAAGTGGCAAATTTAGATGACCCTGAACAAAACTGAGATATGGATCAATGGAAATTTAATGGAATCTCTTCTATAGCTAGGAGGGCTTTGGTAGTTTTGAGGGTAGGTGGTTTTTGTCCACCAGTTTCTCTGTAGGAGAAAGAAGAACTGTTTCCTCCCAAGTGATTTATAGCCTCTGAAAACCTGCTGGAGGGCTAGCGATGGGTTGGTTCTGACTTGATGGCAACTCATTGTATTTGCTTTGCTTCTATTACAGTATAAAGCAAATTTTTTCTTTAGTTTTAAATTTTTATTTCAAGTATTAAGAATTATTGGCCATGATCACAGATAATCAACTGAATGAGCAGAAGTGAGATAAAAATAATAAAATTTATAGAATAAGGTTTCATAGAAACAGGCAATTAATGGACAACGGAAATCCCTGGGGATAAGATATGAGGAAAATAAAAGAGTGATTCCACTTTTGAAGTTCGTACAAAACATGTGAGCTGGGAGAGAAAGAATTAATTGTGGGATTTTTTCATGAATGGTCCCAGACTTTTTAATGAAAGTTGACCATCAGATCAACTACTTCAACTGAAAAAGAGGTTGAAGGTTTGAAGAGAAAGAGTTTACTTTATGACAACTATTGGAAAGAATGGAGTAAGTTGTAGCTAAGGATAAACAAAAACATTTCCAAACCACATTCAGAGCTCAGGTCAACTTGAATCATGAATTTATCATAAAGTTATGTTCTTTCAGAAGGTTCTTAGTTCCAAATAATTACGTGACACTGAAGTTCAGGGGGGGCAATAATCTTAAATTAGTAAGACAAGAAGTAAAAATTAAGTCAATCTTTCCAATAAATATTCTAGTTTGCCGCAGAAGACAAACTAGAGGCTTGCATTTTTACTTAAAACATTTGAGTAAAAAACCGCAAACAAACACTTGAGTAAAATGTATTCTCTGTCTCCTCTGTGTGTATTGGGGTATGTGATGCTTGTAGCTTGAGATAACCCCAAGTGCTTAAATACTGAGGCCCTTGAAACCCAGTATGATCTGAATATACTTGAAATAAGTATGATCTGAGCATATATGATTGTTCCAAAATAATTTAGATTCAAAGATAATGGTGTTGACTTACAATAAAGTAAGGAGTGACTTCTCGGTCAACGATGGATGTTATATTAATTTCACCAGTTTTTGGATTAACAATAAAGACTCCATAAGGTGGTTGGTCAATTCCTACTCCAGAAATTTGGTAGGTAACTATCTGATTTGCAGCACAATCGGAGTGAATCTGTAGAAAGATAATAAGAAAAGGTGACAATAAAACCATTTTACTCCTCATATGTATATCTTTTATAAGGGTTAATGTTATGCCTTATTTGTCAATTGGGAAATATTTTCCTAAATAGATGTAATGACTAAAATTCTAATGTGCCAAAGATAATTGACAAGGTAATAAAAGAAACTCTATTTCCATTAATCAAGAGAAAAATAGAATAATCTACCTTATTTCTTCCTTTTCATTGTTTTTTTTCTGTTGTTCTATATAAATCATATAAAATACTATCTATGTTGTCTAACCACAATCAAAAGAATTGAGAAAATGTGGTACATTCACACAATGGAATACTATGTAGCACATAGAGAAGTAATGATTTTGTTAATTATTACTTAATTTGGGAGGGACTGGAGAGCATTATGCTGAGTGAACTCAGTCCAATAAGGACAAAGACTGTGTATTATTAATGTCCTCTAGGGGAGGGGGTAGGGGGAGGGTAGGATGAGGATGTGTGGTGCTGGCGGATTAATCATGAGATCACACAATTTGATGCAGTGGGTGAAGGAAATGGGAAGGATCTGGTGTGAAAAAGGAATGTGTTAGAATTTTGCAGATAAACTAGTATAAAAAAGAATATAAAATAGAATGTATATAAATGATTCTATGAAAACACAATGCAAGTGAAAGATTGTATCAAACACAATGTATATGAATGAAACATACTGTAAAGTTATTATGATATGAAAATCAATAAAAATGTATGTAAAAAATACTATCTGTGGATTTCCCCCCTCCCCATCTGACTTTTGAAGTAGCATTATAGGTTTTGACTACACTGTTGTACTGAATCAATATTTCACTTTGTCTGGGTGTCTAGATTTTTAAAATTTATGCGTTAGTGGTTTAAGGTTTTATAACTGGAGCAACTAAAGCCCTGATTTTTTTTCTAACTTTTCAATGAGATGTATTCTTCACTATCCTGAAAAATAAACATGGTTTTAATCTTTCTCCTAAGACTTTAAAGACAGTTTATTTTGAAACTTTAATGTCTGCCCATTGTGATTTTTATTTTTGTGCTTTGTTTGATACTTACTTTGGCAATTGGATTTCTTTTCGAGTTGTCTTCTCCTTCACGACAGGCTGCTGCGAACTTGATCCATTCACGTTTTTGCCTTCTGATTGAATGCCACTTGATGGTGCCATTTTTAGCATTGTAATCTCTTACCTTGGATGGACATGATAAAATAACTGTATCAGTGTAACATTGTATTGGAGATATTTGAAGAAGGGTAATTGTAATGGCTGTTTTGTTAGGAAAATTGGTGGTTTTGAGAAGCTATTCATTTTAGCATTGTATTAACTGATAAGGCTTAATCTTTCTTTGGAAAATATATTGTTGTAAACAATATTCATTATAAAATAGCTATGTCTAAAAAAGATTAAGAAATAAAATAAAATAGATATGCTTTATGCTACCTGGATTCGAAATTCACTGTTAACTTCCAGCACCACCTATAAAAAAAATAAGACAATAACAAGAATTAATTTTTAATTAAATGCCTTAAAACTCATGTTTTCTAATCAAACAGTGCCCTTGTGATTTTCAGGAATAATTTTAGCAGTGACAGAAGGTTCATTAGAAAACTCTGTCCCAGATGCCTAAGTCTGATAAAGATGTTAAGAATAGCTTTGAATTTTACTCTTTTTGTTGTTTTTACTTTTAAACCGCTTTTCATTCTCAGCCTGCAAAGATACTTGTGTTTCATAACTTGTGGATATCTTACCTATGAGGTAAGATATTTAAAACTACAACCCAGAGGAAAAGAAAGCTTTTTCATAAACTTATTAGTAAGTCTTGTGTCTGTAGAGCTAGATGTATCCGGACACTATTCAGTGATAATCTAGCAGGATTCTGTCCATTAAAATCTTCAATGATAGTTTCAGGTTCAAGGCAACTCTGGTAGCCTCGCGGTGAGAAGTTGCAATGCAATTCCCAAAGCATGTAGTTTCAACCCACCAGCTGTTCTGAGAGAGTAAGACAGGCGGTCTCCTCCTGAGCCAGTAGTTACCTCTGAAAACCCACTGGAGGGTCACCTATGGGTTGGTTCCAACCTGATGGTACACAACAACATAAGATATATAGGGAGTGCTGTTGGCTTAGTGATAAGGAGCTATGTTGTCAACTCAAAGGTACAGAGTTTGAATCCTCGAGCTGCTTGACAGGAGAAAGGTCGGTAATCTCCTTCCGTGCAATTTACTGCCTCTGAAAACCCTCTGGAGAGTCAGCTATGGGTGGCTGACGCCAGTGAGATATAGAACTCTAGGGAGCTCTGGTGGCCTAGAGGCAAGGTCCTGTGCTGCAATCCTGAGGCATTCAAGGCCACCAGCTGTTCTATGGGAGAAGGATGGGCAATCTCCTCTGTTGCCACCAGTCCAAAGTCATAGAGTTTGAATCCACCAACTACTCTGCAAGAGAAAGATGAGAAATCTCCTTCCATATGATTTACACCTTCTGAAAACCTGCTAGAGGGTCAGTTATGAACGGATTATGACTCAGGTTAAGGCGTTTGTATTTTTAGTTTATGAGATATATAAAAAGACATTATTTTTACTTTAGAAAATAAATATTTGGAATATTTTCTATGTTAAAAATTATCAGTTACAATTCATTGGATAATAATGGAATACTAGGTAATGTGTTTAAACAAAATCTTCAAAACAAGCATGTGTGACAGATATTATTATTAAATCCATTTTATAAATGAAGTGGAGGCTTTGCTATTAACACATGGCTAAATACATTCCAGTACAATTCAGGCTAAATTTGTACCTGAGCTATGGGTTTTGCAATGAAGTATAAGATAGCCTATTCACCAAAGTCAATTCTAATGCAAACATGTCACAAAGAACTGTAATGACAATTCTAAGAATGAAAAACTTGATTTTCATCTGTCTACCTCTTTGATTCATAGTTCCCATATGATAACAATAAAACTAAAAAGAGAGAAAAGTGTCAGTAACTGAGATGTTATTTTTATGACAGTCTTTTCATGTATTTAAAGTTTGTTTCTGATTGTTCTGTTTAGAGACAATTGTTGCTGGAGAGCTGAAATTATTTCAACGAGGAGCAATGGGTAACTCTCGCTCCTGTGAACTCTCTCAGCACGTTTGTGGGTGTGGGAGGGGCTTGATGGGATGCCTCATTTCTTTGTATGGAAGTTGTTTTTTATCTTTTTAGAATTGTGTTCACATGTTATCTATCTTGCACGTCCCTCAGCACACTGAAGTGTTGGTACGTGTTGTTTATTTTGGATAACTATGCCAGATGACTAATAAAGCTCTCTGCATTTATGAAGCTGGAAAATTCTTTTTCCCACGAGAGAGAAATTAGGATGCCCAACAGGTTTTACCAAAGTCATAGAATCAGGCTTCACAGTTAATTGGTTCTTGAAAAGCTCTACCAACTTAGTTTTAAAATGTAAAGCGCGATTGTAAGTTTTTATCTTTTCCTGACAGTCTAGGGTGCTTTTGAAACATATTCATTTTAAGGCTTTGAAATACACTTTAATAAACTGAAAATGAACACCTGATAGAGTTGGAAAACCTTGATGCATTTCTCAAATTTTTCGAGCTTCACTTTTCTCATTTACTAAAATGAAAACAGTGGACAAAATTATCAACTGGTAGCTTTCCAGTTTCCCCACCAAATGCCTGTATGAAGGAGGAAAGTGTTGAAGACGAGAAGGGCATGACAATTCTTGGCAGGAATAGTGGGAAGTGGCAAAGATTACAGGTCCCGAGCTGTTGAGAATCTTGTGCATCAAAACAGTCTTCCTTCAGTGAAAGGTGGCCAGTGGGGCCAAGTGCAATGCCAGCCCTCCTACTTATACATTCATTAGGCAACACCCTACACAGGGGAAGGCGCTAAACCAGCCCAGTGGCAGTGGGGGCAGACAGGGAAAGATCAAGGAAGAGATACTGCGTGAGTAGTGCTGACGGAGCCTGAGAACAGATGGGACGTGGGAGTCAAGATAGGCGGCCCAGGTGGTGGTTGCTTTAAACTGGGACTGGGAATAAGGAAGCAGCAGTATGAAGCTGGAGAATATACTGAGTTTGAAATGTCAGAGACAAGACCCACAACTGAAATGTGTCTCAGAAACAGGAAGAAAGTTTCAGGCCAAATACATAGATTTGAGGGACATCTGCTCAAATGTGGGAGTTGAAATCAGATGAGAACTTGGATAGGTAGAATCTAGACTATAGCAAAAAAAATGCTACTGCTGAAGATGGATCCGAAGATCATTCCTATGTTTATGTCACTGGCAACAACAGCAACACAAGAGAGACAATGAGAGAAGGAGAAGTAAAAAAACCCCAAAACCAGAGGACAAATTAATTCAGTGTCTCAGATGTCATGAGAAGAAAAAAAAAGTGAAAGACAGTATGAATGAGTGTCAAATGATGGGGGAAAGTTTTCAGGGACTTTCAAAAGAATGTCTTTGATTCTATGGAACAAGGAAGTTTCCTCTAGAAATTGTAGTAAGAGGAAATAGAGAGCTGAGAAGGTAGAATTAAATGTGGTAGCATTCAAGAAAAAAAAAATTCACAAGGGGAAATGTCACAGATATTTGAGTAAGAGGTTTTGATTTGAAAGGGGAAAAAAAAGGTGGTGTTTTTTAAATTTTATTTTATATTGGCTTACATCCAAAAGGCGTCTACATTGTGCTCCATTTACAGACATTATGTTTGATGCACTCCTCCATTCCCTCTGTGTTTCACATTATCATTCCCTTACATTGTGTGAGGAAATTAATGGAAAGAAGAGGCTTCAAAGACAAGCTAAGGAATGGAGGAGAGAAATGAAAATTCATAGATAAGATATCAAAGGACATCTTTGTGATTATTGTAGACCTTATTTCCAAAGACAGGGTGAGTTTAGAAGTTATTTGAGTTTAGAAATAATTTGAGATTTGTGTGTAGAGGCTGTAGATTCTACAGGGAGGAAAATTGGGCTTTCTGACTAGATCTAAATTCTTATGTCCAGGAGATATAAGCATCTGTGTATTACACTTAACCATTGTGTGCCTCAGTTTCCTTATCTGTACGTAAGACTGTGCATATCTGTATGTAAGACTATGTATGTAAGTCCATCTTAGCTTCTAAATTTCTCTGAGGCAGAGAATTCACTTTTATTTTAGGAGTCAACTAATTTACTAAAAAAGAAAAACTTTAAATTCCGCAAGACTTGAAATGACACTCTACTTTCAATCACCCTCTAACGGTCATAATTCACTTTTATTTTTAGTGAAGGTTGTAGATCTTTGCATATCATAAGAATGGACTTGAGAGTAAGAAATTATTTTTGTAAAAAGAATATATCGCATGTCATAATTATAAAGTTGTATTCCACAGTAATTAATTGGTAGTTTTTTTTTATGATCTTAGTGTATTTGCTAACTCTTGTTATAAATTTCAGCTTTTGCTTGAGGCAGAAACCACGGAATAAACTTAAGACCCAAAATACAAGAACTTGTTTAATTATAAAACGTCATCTTTTATCTTTCCTCCATATTGCTTATGACAAAGGACATCAGAGTTGACAATGACTTAATGAGTTGGTTTCTCTGACTTGTCCATTGATTTATATAATTAACAAATGTTTAATGAATGTCGATTATGTTGGTCCAAATTTAGATTAAGAGGGAGCTCTGATGATCTTGTGCCACTGATGACCTTGGTCGCCTTAGATGAGCTGCAAACCCAAAGGCAGTGAGTGGTTCCAATCCACTAGGTGCTGCACAGGAAAAGCATGAGCAATCTCCTCCTGTGCACTTTACAGCCTCTGAAAACACACTGGCGGGTCAGCTATGAGTCGATTCAAACTGGATGTCAATGAGGCTTCTCTTTTTAAGGTGTGAAAAAAGAATGCTAACCTCTTTATAAAATAGAAAGTGAATGTCTTATTAACCTATAAAAATAAGCATTGGGGAAGTCCAAGATGGTTATTTCCTTTTTTAATGCTTTGAGGAGCTCTGGTGGCCTAGTGGTAAGAAGCTGCGCTGTAGTCTCGAAGACTCGCAGTTCGAACCCAGCATCTCAGCGGGAGAAGGCTTGACAGTCTCCTCCTGTGTGATTAACTGCCTCTCAACACCTGCTGGAGGGCCAGCTATGAGTAGGCTCTGACGTGATGACACACAACAACAACAACAACAACAGCCATGCTTTTACAATATGATTTTTTGGTTTTGGCAGTATATGAGTGAAGAGAAACATAAAGTACCCCTAAATTCCCTTCTAGTACAGACTGCTACTGTTGATAGTTTCCTTAGCAGCGAGTGCTCTCACCACTTTGTCCCCAGAACCCGTTGTGTGTTTCTTATTAGCCAAATGTAAAAGGCTGCATTCCCTTCTCACAGGCTGGTGGAGAGTGCGGATCAGCTGTTTGACAGGCCTCAGTCCACTGAAGGCCTCAGTCCACTGAAGGCCTCAGTCCACTGAAGGCCTCAGTCCACTTAAGGCATTTTCAAGTCGTGCATAACCAGCAAGGGTAAGATGACCCAGCACTGTGCCCGGGCGTTCCCTCTGTGGAAGGGAGCCTACACGCAGCTGCAATGTTGAGCGTGCTCTCGACCTATTCATTAGGCAATGGCTTGTTGGGACATGGGAGTCGCTGCAGCAAAGTCCTCAGGAATGTATCATGGGGAAAGAGCTATCGCAAATGAAATGCTCTGGGCGGCACAGACAAGCATGGCTTTCTGCTCTGTTGACAAATCTTGTTAAATAGATGACCTCATGGGTCTGACCTTGTTTAAATATCAGGTCCAATATTTCCAATACCTAAATCAGGGAGGGCAAAATATTTTGGCTCTGTGGCAACTCAAACCTCTGATGGTGGCTTCCTGAACTCCTTGTTGAGGGTTTTAGGGTCTCCTAGGGTCTTTGTAGGCTCAATGGGAAGAGTGCTTTGGTCAATACCAGGGGCAGGGCCTTGGTTTAGGTCTGATGACTACTATTCCAGGTAGAACCTTAAAACTCTCATCTAACAAATTTCATGGTTTGTTAAAGAACTAACCCAATGATTTCTAGAGATGTAAAGGATTAAAGAATTTCATTGTAGTGGTAGACATTTTGCAGTGATAATATGTACTCTTTTTTTTAAGATGAAAGAAGATGCTGATCCTAAATCTGTAGTGAAATAATACAGAATTTAAGGGAATCATCTAGTTGAAAATGACTATGCTAACATATTGATAAACCAGCATATGGCTTCCATTTTCCATGAAATATTTCACTGAAACACTATAATGCTGTCACCACAAGACAAACACGAAGAAAGCATACAATTTAATTTAAAAGAAGGATAAAAGAGCCCTCTCTTTGGCTTCTCTTCAGTTTAGTATGTACTAATTTGTTAGTCTTGTACTAATTTGTTAGTCTTGCACTGTAATCCCAAAGGTACATGGTTCAAATCCATCAGCTACTTCATATGAGAGGAATGTCCTCCCATGTGATTTACTGCCTCTGGGAACCCACTGGAGGGTCAGATATGAGTCAGTTCAAACTCAATAGCAAACCACATCTCTTGTTTATTTATCAATGAATGTGGTTATAGAAATTTAAGATGCCTGGCTCAAACAAGTTGATTGACTATAGAATAATATACATGTTATTTCTGTGTATTTTTGTCTACAAAAAACTGAAAAATTCTTGCTTTTAATTTAAAGGACCAATGATGAGTTAAAATTAGAGATTATTATGAGGTTAAAAATGAAAATATTAACCCATAGAAAGTGGAAAAGATAGGTTAGTATAATTCTGGTAATATATTTTTTAAAACTCCCTAAAACTCATTTTCTTTATTCTTTAAAGTTCAGCTGCAGAATTTTGTCTGTATTGAGAAGAGACCATAAAGTTTGTATTGATTTGAATGGACCAGTTAGACCTGGCAAATGTGTAAGTTATTTTCCAAAATCATTAGGATCATAGAAATTTTTCTGGCTCGATTTTTCTTTTCAATGATGACCATACTATACTTTTTACTATATTAACAACTATTCCCACAGAAGTCTTTAAGTAACATTATCTTCAGTAGCATAATGCAATTTTGTTCTCTTAGAGAAAATACACTCTAATCTCCACTCCATACTCTGAAAATGCACTTATTTCCCTAAAGTAGTAGAAAAGAAAACTAAATGCAAAACCAATAAAATTTGTTTAGCTTGCTGTGTGATAGCAGGTGGAAGTTACTGTCTGCTTCTACCTCTGAATCATGAAATAGTCATGTAGCAATCTTTGTCACTATAAGAGAAGCTGTTTGGCTTTATTCTCAAAGATCCAGCTGAATAATTTTAACAAGGTCTGAAAACTTGGGAAATATAGAGCAGACTAACGGTACTCTCAATAGGGATTTGCTTCAGAGTTTAATATCTTAATATTGAACTGTCTTAAAGGTTTTAATAACCAAATGCACTCCTTTACATGGATTGTCCTAATTTACCAGCTCTTAACTTTATATAATTTTTCTTTCTTTTGTAAAAGCAAGCAATTTATGGTGAAATTAACAAACTCATAAAGGCAGAATTTTCTACAATGGTAGTTATCATTGGGGGAGAGTAGGGGTGGATGAGGTAAAGAGGCAATATTTTTAAAGCAAAATACAGACTAGATACCTTCAACGAGAAATTACCAACACTGTTTGGTAAAAGCAAACAAAATTATCCAGGCTCCAAATAGATGGATACTCCTATATCTCTCTCCAAAGTGAGAAAGCAATGAAATATAGATTTTTAAAAAAATTTTAATGAAAGTTTATAAAGAACTTGAATTTCCATTCATTCATTGTTGCACATTTTCCTCCCTGTCCTCCCTTCCCCCCTCACCCAGTTCACTTTTTCCTTTGGGAAAAAAGTTCTTTCATTGTTATATAGCCCCCCCCCCCGCCACCTGCCACTTTACTATGCAATGAAATAATAGATTTTTAATGAAATGATACATTTTATTGAAGGATAGCTAATTAGGAAGTAATAAAAGGTAATCTATGGGATGCAGTTAATGAGAAATAACCATATAAATCAGCCAGTAAGGCATACCTTACAGATTCAAGAAAAGTAATTTCATAAGCGCCCAAACTAAATTCCATACACCAATTAATCAGTCAAATTGATAGTAATCTTGAATGGATTAAATTTATATGAAATTGTTGGTAAAAGTATTTGCTTATTTTTCAGTGCAAAATTGCTCATCTCTTCAAGTGGCATAGTGAATAATGAGACTCAATTCCTGCCACATCTGAATGATGACATCAACTGATCCTAAGCATCGTAAGACTTGCTGGTATAGGACAGTTTGAAGGACAGCTTGACCCTGAAGCTACTGACTTGCTGATGCTCATTTATAACTAAATCGGCTGATTACAACCACTCTTAATTAATGAACTGAATTTAAACTAACCACCATTGCATCAATGAAAGCACTAACTTGTTATTACACAAACTCAACATTCCTGTTCAAAAATCAAGCAAGTAGAAACAAATGTGAACCACAGAATGGCCTCCCGTCAAGCCAGAGGGTGATTTACCTGGCACCTGCCTTTGTCAATTACATAAAACTGACTATGAGAGAGGTGGCTATTTTCTTATTTTCTCCAGGAATAAAATGGATGGAGTCCATGGGTGTATTTAACATTAGGGCTGAAAGGAGAAAGCTAATAATGGGACCGGGCGGAGGCAGTGACCAACCGTTTCATTACTTTTGATCATCAACTTTCAAGTCTTAGTTACTACTGACTTTCTACTTAGAATAGAAAAAACAAGGATAATAATAGTTACATTTAGTCCTTAATTATGGCCTTTCTTTTACCTACCATGTCATTTGAATATCTCTTACACTGTCATTTTTTAACATTAAAAAAAAAGCCATTTTAAAGAAATCTTTCTTTGGCGGTGTGGGGCTTACAATACTTAGTGGTATGGGTATGAAGGGTCCTTAGGGAAGTGAAGAGTTTGCTTGCATAGTAAGACCAGCCACAAACTGTCATGATTTTCATTTTTATGGCTTTTATTTTTATGTATTAAGAATCATTATGAAATTTCATGCAAAAAAAGTTTGACAAGCAGGACATGCCTGGGATGATTAGCTTCAAAGCTCTCTTGCAAAAGAGAATTTGAACAACTAAGTAGTGATATGAATTTTGTTCATTCATAATGTCCGCAGTATAGCTTAGCAAACACTTCAGTCTCAAGAGATATGATAGGATGAGTTGACGCTGATGCATGAATAAGACCTAGAGCCTTCAATTAAAGAGAACAACAGGATGTAAAAATCTAGTTCATAAAACCACCTGGTCATTAACATAAACTTTTAATGAGTTTAGGTGAGAAATGACATGAAATAACATTTTCTTCAAAGGTCTCAGTCTTTTGCACTGAGCACAAAGGTGAACGATTTGTGACAAAGTCCACTTACCAGCAAGATGAACAGCCCAGCAGCTGTTCTGAAGACATGCCAGTCCATCGCTGCTGGGTTCTTTTTACATCCAAGACCAGGGGAGTTTTGTTTGTTCTTCTCGGTTCCTTCTCTTTTCCCCACTCAGTTGGTGTCTGATTAAGATAATTTCTCAGTAGATGTTCTTACATGCAGGCTTTGAGGTGTTTCTGCCTTCTTCTGGGAGAAGGACTGACAGGACGTATAACCAGTCTGGATCCCCACCCTAAAAACTTGGGCTGGTCTCAGTGAAATGCTTGACAAGATCATCATTGCTCCCAGGTAAAAGCTCTGGGACACACCCTTCTTCCAGCTGGAGAGTAACTCTCCACGGGGCACCCCAGAGTCCCTCCTCACTGGATGTTTCCAGTGGCAGGTGTTTTAATTGGTCAAAAGAGACAGTTGTCCAATTGACGGGGGCTTTTCCCCCTGTGACTTATCTGCAGGCTTATTTTGCTTCTTCTCATACACGTGGCAAGTTCAATATAGACACTTATGTTCTTGAAAGAGAGTTATCTGACCCATGGTCACAGTCAAACCCTCAGGTTACAATATAAAATTAAAACTTACCATTTCAGTCGATCTGGGAAAGATTAGATTACTTTCTAAGTTGCTGAAGATTCAAAAAATTTTGTTATGATGAGAGTAATTTCCTTAAATTTGTTCAAACCAAGAACCTGATGGGTACTTACTCCTGGAATATCTCCATAAATCTCAGTTCTCTTTGAGTTACCAGCCTAACCCAAGAACACCCTCTTTTCTCCCCAAATGAAGATTTCTTTCTCCCTCTGCAATTTTTCTTTTAAAGATTCTTCTCTTCTCAAAGACAGTCATACAAAACTTAAAATATCAGTAGGATAGATTCAAAGTAAACACTCAAAACCACCAATTAAAACTGTGCTGATAATTTCTGAAACAAGATTCAGTGCTTGAAATACTAAGGGGAACGCTGAAAGCTGCTCTTCAGGTGAGGTGGGTTAAAAGTCAGTGACGATTCCCAAGCTCAGAGCCAAGAAGCTGGATAGTGAGCCAATTAGAACATGGGGAACACAGTGAAGAAATGGCTGCCCACACACGCAAGTAGGAGACTGGATGTAGCTCTGAGCTTTGTGGAAATAAATAGTGACCTTCATGAGGCAGTGCTGGAACATGCTCTTGGGATATTTTTGTTTCACCTGTCAATGTCTAGAAATACTGTGGGTGGCAGGGAGCCAAAATGGATGCTGGGTGCCTTCAGAGCTGGAAGTGGTAGCTTGGAATACGAGCTGGATCTGATGAAATATTGATCATGGTCAAAAGAATATTTAAAATGCCTCGGAGAGCATCTCTGAAGAACTGAAGTCCCTCAGAAAGCCATCATTTCAACACAAATGTGTGGCAAAGACTATTGCTCAACAGTGGTTTGAAATTGTATGCTATCCATACTAGAGTAAGTAGGCAAGGAGATATACTGGTATCTATTTTTACTCGCCCAAAGTTAAGTCAAACCAACAGTCATCAAGTTGGTTCTGAGACTGCTCATCTTTCTCCACTGGAGTGGATGGAGAACTTGAACTTCCAACTTTCATTAACAGCCTGACATCCAGGGCTTAGTGAATAAGAACACTTATGAAAGAATTGGTTGACAGGAATAAATAAAATAAAAGGAGATGCTCAAGTCAAACTTCTCATTGGTCAGCTATGACTGAATGTGAATATCAGCCTATAACTTAGTCTGAGGAAAGTATTGGTAGTAGCAACATATTCCCATTGGGTACCAGAGAAAAGAAATCAACAAAACAAACCAAACCCCAAACACCTACTGTCAAAGTTTGCTAGTGGCAAAAAATTTGTTTTATCCTTAGTTTCCGAGCAGCATGCTAGGGTTTGCACTGGCCCTTCTCATCCATGGAATGACTTACTTCCCCAGACCCAGCCCTGGCTCCACCCCCAGCTGAATGCCTTTCGCCAACGCTGGCAATCACATTGAGCATTCATTCCTACCTCTCCAGAAACTTTCCAGAGAGGAGGTGTGGCAGAACACTAAGGTGCAGTGCAGGCTGTGGCGACAATCTCCTGGGAGCTGGAGACTTTAGACACAGATGGGAGAGGGTGTTCGTGAATCACCTGCCCTCCTCCTTCTCCTCTGCCCCTGCCTTTTCAGCTTTCTTACTCACTTTCATGACCAGTAAGGCTTTGTGAGGCTGCTGCTGAGTGAGGCAGGGTTTCCCTCTATTGTACGTGAGATCTCTATGAGATGGAGCTGACTCAAAGGCACCGAATAATAAACAGTAATACTTTCTGCAACTAAGGAATGGCCTTTATTCTCATTATTCAGTATGGTGGCTGCTTAACCACATCTTATGACTGGGAATTTGATAAATGGCTAACAGCACTGAAGAACTGTAATTTTCTTTTAGCAAATTCAAATTTATATAACCACACATGGCTAGTTCCTACCATACTGGACAGCGGTGAGGGTACAGAACATTGTTTTAATTATCTGTTCTCTTACTCAAGTCTTAATTCTTTGCTTTCTCTTAAATCCAACCATCTTAACCATTTTAGCTGAGAGAACTTTACTTCTGCTTCAGTTTCTTATCAGCACCTTTTAATTTCTTTTCCTCTGTGAATTCTTATTCCCTTCCTTGTGTTAGTATCTTTTTCTAACTCCCTAGAGATCCTATTTCCTGGTTACAAGGAGTTAAGGACTTTAAAATATATAGGACACAGGCTGTCTAGCTCTCATTTCCATATGCACATTCCTCCATCTTTTCTTCTGATGCCCTCATCTGTCACTATGTTTGATCCCACTGTATTCTATTTCTACTCTGAATACTGCACTTTCACGTGCATATCAACAGTTTTCACGTGGTGGGAATTTTTATAAAATCTGGGGTGATTTTTCTGTATGTGGAATTTCCCTGGCAAGCTATCGGTGCTTCCCAAAAGAATCAGAATTTTCCTGAAAGAAGGAAGCTCCCCACAGTCCCAGCCCCACAGACCCTATAAGACACTGCCAACTCCAGAATGTCATCCCAAGTGTCTGCATTTCTATATGTGTTCACCGCTTGAGTTACTGTCATACCATCTTATAATGCAAAATAATGAAAAAAGAATAGATCCTACTGATGTAATTTCTTATGTGTAATCAAAGTGATGGGTACATTATTCTTCATTTTCAAAGCACCGAGAATATGGGCACATATATTGCAGAGAATCCCTTTGGTGTATGTTTTTGTTTTATGTGAACTTCCAGTTTGACCTAAATATAAATTAGGGTAGATTTGGGCAATTTAAATGTTTCTAAATTGCATTAATCTGTTCCACATAGAGTTTCAAAGACAAGCAATGGATGAAAGATTAAAAATAAACCCAGGAAATATTAATATAAAAGAATTTGAGGCTAATAAATATGGAATAATACATTTTGGTACACAGTCCGGTGACTTCCAACTCAGAGTAATCTGTATGACAAAGTAGAGCTCCCTGTGGGGTTTTCCAGCCTGGAATCTTTAGGGATGCAGACCTTGATCCATGGAGCAGCTGGATGAGTTTGAACTGACAACTACTCAGTTTGTAGCTGAGTGCTTAACCACTTATGTCACCAGGACTCCTTTAAGAATGTTGTTGTTGTTAAGTGCCGTTGAGTCGTAGGCGATTCATGGCAACCCTATGAATGAAAGTCCCGGACACCTGTATAACTTTAGTCTTTTCTCCAGGTTCATAGGATTTCCAGAGGCAAGCTATTATGGAAGTGGATGCCATTCCTGCTTCCAAGCTTGTTTTAATCTGGGAGCTCCACCAAACACTGTTCACCATGGGTAACCATTCTCGCATTTGACTCATCAGTGTCACAGTGATCGGCTTCACAGCAACCACGAGTTACCTCTGTACAGCAAGTGGACACACCAGAGCTATATGGCCTAGAAGGATGTTTCACCAAAAACAATTAAAGGCCCTATAGGATTTTAAGCTAGAGCCTGGAGCAGGCTCCACAGGCTCGGCCCCATCCTTACTTTCCCTTACTCTAAGGGTCATGACAGCCCATCCACCTTTGAAGGACAAAAAGAAAAGCAACAGACAATGAGAAAGACCCCAGAAACTTCCCTTGCCTGAGTGCCACCAAGAGGAGCCGCCATGGAGACACCAGCCATCCCACCAGATTAGCTGGCTGACTTCCAGAGTGGAGGGAGACTCCCCCTTTAAGAATAACCTAATGAAAAAAAAATTTATTTGTTTCTATATTGATGTATTAATTTTAATATCATTCTCATTGTTTAAAATTATATATTCTTCAGAATCATTGTTTATATGTACACATAAATATGTCTAGGAAAGATTTCTGTTTCAGATGATAACAATTTTTGTATTACTATACAACAGCCAAATATAATGTGTTAATTAGATTACTGTTTTGTGTTGTTGTTTTTTTAAAAAAAGCCTTAGAAGTAAAATGGAAACAATTGAAATAAGTTCAAGTAGACTGAGAATTATTATAAAACTTGGAGGAAGACTCATCTGTAACCTGGTGTACGCAGATGACACAACCTTGTTTGCTGAAACTGAAGAGGACCTGAAGCATTTGCTGCAGAAGATCAAGATCTGCCATCTTCAATACAGATTGAAATTCAACATCAACAAGACAAAGATTCTCACCACAAGGACAATTGGCAGCACCTTGATAAATGGAGAAGAGATGGAGATTATTAGCAAGTTTATCTTGCTCAGATTCACAATCAAGACTTTCGCCATCATCAGTGAGGAAATCAAAAGATTAATTGCATTAGGAAAATTTACTGTGAGGGACTTCTCCAGAGTGTTGAAGAGCAATGATATCAGTCTAGAGACTAAGGTGTACCTGATGCAGAATATGATCTTCACCATTGCTTGCTATGCATCAGAGAGGTTGACAATGACTAAGGATGACAGAAGAATCAATGCCTTTGAGCTGTCTGGAGGAGAGTATTAAATGTACCCTGGATTGCCAAGAGAGCTATTAAGTCTGTTCTGGAAGTGAAACCTAGTTGCTCTCTGGAGACAAAGATTTT